CACGAATCCTATTATCTATATCAATGAGGTAGTCAATAAGGTCCTCTAATGGAATAGGAAGCTCCCTTGCCACTACCTCATCTAATATAGTGTCAGATAAACCTTCCATGAACGCAGTAGTTAACCCATTATTGGTCCAATCTACCTGTGAAGCAAGGGTACGAAACTGAATAGCATAATCAGCCACAGACCTAGACCCCTGTTTAATTCTCATTAATGCTCTTGCGGCATTCTTTGACCTTGTTGTTGTGTCAAAAGTTCTACGAAAAGCCGCAAGAAAGCTATTGAAATTATGCACCATAGGTCCATTGGCCTCCCAAATAGGATTTGCCCACTCAAGTGCTTTGTCAGTAAGTTGATGCATCAAAAACCCCACTTTAGACCTATCAGTGGGAAAGGAATGAGGATACATCTCAAGGTGGAATTCTATTTGATTAATAAAACCTCTGCATGTCTTGGCTTCCCCTCCATACTTAGGAGGAGGTGTTAAATGGGGCGAAGTATTGGGTGAATTGGATACTTCGGGAGGATGAGGTGTAGGAGGGTTAGGTGCGGTTGCAGGAATAGTTCTAGACAAGAGCGTCTGGAGAGCCTGTGCTATCTGATCCATACGGTGATCCTGCTCTACAAACCTTGCCTCGTGAGAAGCCATTTGCTGAGCCAAATCTGCGGGGTCCATGGCCCTATCGTAATGTAACGAGAATATACCCCAACACGCAGGATTCAGCTAAACTGAAGACAACACAGAGGAGAGATACGTCTACCGGACCTTAGAATGGCCGGACTCGACGTATATGAGAGGAGGCAGAGTCAGGAACGATCCGAAGTCAAGGGCACAGAGAGACAGCGTAAACTAGGACAAGCTGGGGTCTGGTACACAGTAAACAGCAAGTCGACAACCAGAACAGATAAGGATAAAGAGAAAACGTAGTCAGAAACAAAGCCAAAGTCAATACGGAGAAACACAACTGAACACAACAAGCGCTAAAGGGAACTGAAACAGAAACCACGATAGGGCAGGGAGTAAAGGGAGAAGTAAGTTTAAATAGCTTCTAAACTAATGTGATTGGCTCCTGTCATATCCACACCCCCAAAAGGTAAGTGTATGGGGAGTGTGGCATGACAGGGGCCAATGAGAGCCTTTTAACAATTTAGGCTCCCACTGCCCGAGACTCGCGACGCGCTCTTAGATTCAGGCGGGACACGTGACCGCTTCTCGCGGTCACTGCCCGCCTTTCTAGTGAAGCTGTCGGATGAGCAGTGCGTGGCTCGTGCAGCAGCAGGACCGCGCGCGGCTCGAAAAGAGGACCGCGGCCGGCCCTTTGATAAGGTGATTAACGCTACACTGTCTTCAAATCCTTCTATACTGGAGTCCTTCCAGGGGTGACTATCTGCTCAACGCGTTTCGTCTTGCTTCTGACTTCCTCAGGAGCTTGTTCTGCCTTCATTCTCCGGCATTTAAATATGCCAAGCCACGTCCATACGCTGTGTCTGCGCATGCGCGGTGGTGTAACGGCGTGATGACTTTACGCAAACGTCTTCGTTCACCGCGCATGCGCATTCCACTTTGGATGCAAGCAAACTTTATTGCTATGAGCAAACACGGACATCTCCTAACTTACACATACAAGCCAGAGTTTTTTGCCGTTTACTACTACATAATATGTCCACATATCTGGCTTGTCAAGCTGGTATATAAAATACAATACGAAAAAATATAAGAAAAAACATATATTAAAAAATATATATTAAAATATATGTATGCATGTAGAATAGATATGTGGATGAGACATAAAAAGGAATATCACACAGAGAACTATTATATTGTACTGTTTACAAAGTAAAATCAGGGTCATTAATCTAAAACATAATATAACAAGTATATATAAAAAACATACAACAAGTATATATGGATTGATTCCATTAGAATGTTTAGCTCTTTTATAAATAATTTTTTATATATATATATTTTCACATCTTTTTATATATATTCTGAGTATTTGTATCTTTTAATGAATTATACTAATGTATTCCAGAGTTGTATCACCTATTCCTAAAGTAGTAATTGTCATTTTTCTTCTTTCCATACAATTTTTAGGTCAATAGATTATGTAATCAATATTTTTTATATAAACCTGTTTTATATATACTTGTTGTATGTTTTCAGAGCATGAGCTACCTGATGGTCCTCCTTAGTGTGCAGCGGGTCTATGGAGTAGGTAGGAATAAAGGCACTAAAACAACTTTAATAAGATGAAGTTGTTATAGTGCCTGCAGTGTTTCTGGAAGACCAGAAAACTTTTATTATTAAAAGGAGACTTAAGTCACCCAGACCACTTCATCTGAACGAACTGGCATGGGTGCAGTGGTTCTGTATGTTTAACTCTTCAATCCTATGAGCAACATTGAACTGGGTCATCGCCGAAAGAGATGAAATCACAGAAGGTGGAGAGGTGAGTAGCGCTGAAGAAGTCTCGGCGCTTGAGAGAGGTAAGTAAATCTTTTCTTCTTTTTTATTATTGCAAATGGGTGTGGGACGACCAATATATAACTAATGACAGGGGCACAATAGTGTTACTATTCCTAATATTTTAAGGTTTATATTCCTAACCCTATCATGTTCCTTTGAGAATAAAAAAAAAAAAGAGGCTGCAGTGACAGATTATTTGCACCATAACTACTTCAGGTAGATAAAGTGGTTATAGTGCGTAGAATAACTCTTTAAAGTGATGGTATCAATACAGGGGTGTTTTTGCTTGTTTTTTTGTGTGCAAATACTACGTGTATAGAATTTAATGGTTTGGTCCTAGAAATTACTTTTTTCTTCTGCTTGCGTGTGTTATATTATGTTTTTCTGCTTTCGTGCCAACAAGTCATATGATCTTGTACGTAAACTGTGAGCTATGGAGAGCTAAGTACTGACATGCGAAATGAAGGTTAACGTTTCTAGGGTATTTTAGCCATAAGTTAAAGTCGGTTGTCAGCACAAAACATTTCATACTTCAGCGAATAGACGTCTAGGAAATATGTCTATAATGTGCTAAGTATGCCACCTCACTCGCATTTTCAGAGGCACGTATTTTTTTCAGAGCACAGTGTTATGCATTCAGTTTCCGTGGAGCTCTGTGATTACACTAATACAAACTGAGTAGAACTCTTTTATTGTGGTGGAGCTCAGCATATTATTGTGAGTTTTATTGTTTTGGAGCTCTGTGATACACTCACAATGCTGCATGTTACTGTGAGTTTTATCCAATCACAACGCTGCATGTTACTGTGAGTTTTCTTGCTGTGGACCTCTGCGATACACACTCAGAACTGGTGCAAGACTATTTTGGGCCCTAGGCAAGACCAGCTGCACCCCCCTAAATTAGTTTGATCCAATTTTTGTGCCTCTTTCTCCCCCAACTCCTTTGTGTGTCTCTTTTTCCCTTTTTCACAGTCCCTCTGTGGGTCTCTTTCGCCCCCAATCCCTTTGTATGTCTCTTTTCCTCAACCCCTTTGTGTGTCTCTTTCTCCTCCTCAGCCCCTGTGTGTCTCTTTCTCACCCAATCCATCTGTGTGTCTTCCACCCTGTAGCGGAGCTGCAATATTAAATCCCAATATCTCCGCTGGTAGAATAAAGTAATCCAAAAAAAGCGCTGAATGAAGGCAATATCCCAAATCCCCCAATAACCGGACAGTTCTGGGAGTCAACTGAGGTTTTAATCACAAGTTCCAGTATTTATGCAGTGCCCCATGCAAGGGGTTTCCTTAATTACTTTACAGGGGTTTTAGTCAGGGGACTGTATGGGGGACTTCCCTTGCACGGACATTTCCCATCAGGCCATACTGTAGTGGAGAGATAATTGGCCAAGAATATATTGATAATCCCATTATCTCTCCGTACAGTAAAACAGGCACTTTAACATTAAAATCCATAACAGGCATAATATACGGTTGAATTGGCAGAATGACCCCTTGTTCAATAGCTGGGACCTGAGCGCACCATCTGGTGAAATACTGCTCAGATCCCCGCTATAGAAAACAAAAGCCATGTGGATATATATTGACACGAACAGTCATGGCAATGCTAGGAAAACTTATACTGGTTAATTTACCGAACGAACATGAAGTCGAGTAGCCGATTTTCGTTCCAGTCACTCGACGACCAAACACCGCTGGGCTTTCAGGAGAAAAAGGTGGCCACCACATGTTCGACATACGAACGGCGGCCACCCGCATATACCTGAATTAACTGTGATACATTGTAACTATCCTTAAATGGGAGACACACGACTCCCTGTGTGTGGTCTCCCATTCGGTAGTTTAATTTGTTTCACAAACGGTGGATTTTAAAACAGCGTATGGCTTTCAGGCAACAAGCATCCGAATGCCATCTACTGCATACACGTACAAATATTACAGCCATTCCATACACATACAAAGGACTAAAGTGGAGGTTTTGCCACACACCCCAGCCACTATGTGTGTCTCTTCCCCCCAGCCACTTTGTGTGGCTCTTTGTCCCCACTCAGCCCCTGTGTGTGTCACTTTGTTCCCAAATCCTTTGTGTGTCTCTCTCTCCCCAGCCCATTTTTGTGCCTCTTTTTCACCCAGCTCCTCTGTGTGTCTCTTTGTCCTCCAGTCCCTGTGTGTGTGTCACTTTCTTCCCCCAAACCCCTTTGTGTCTCTTTCTCCCCCAGCCCATTTGTGTCTCTTTTTCCCCCAGCCCCTTTTTGTCTCTTTTTCCTCCAGCCCCTAGTGTGCCCCTACCCCCCCCCCAGGCCTCTATGCACCCCTTTGTCCCCCCCAGGTCCCTTGTGGTCTCTCCCCTTGGTGGCTGCTCACCTCCCTCTATGTAGCGTGACAAGCTCCTGACCACAGTGGAGGATCTTCTGTTTCGTCTCCCCAGTCTGACAGGAAGCTGTTTTGTGCTCTTAGTGAGCACTTCCTGTTAGACCAGGGAGAGAATACAGAAGATCCTCCACTGTGGTCCGTGTCTCGGCCAAGCTACATACAGTGACTGGCAGGAGGAGAGCGCTCTCTTCCTGTCGGTCACCAGAACATTGCGCCCTAGGTGACTGCCTAATTTGCCTGGCTCTGTACACTGGCCCTGTACACACCACATTACTATGATGTTTAATGTTGTGGAGCTCTGTGAAGGACTTATACAAACAGCACATTACTGTGAGTTTTATTGCTGTGGAGCTCTGTGATGCACAAATTCACACTGTGCATACTGTGAGTTTACTGCTGTGGAGCTCTGTGAAACATTTATAAGCACTGCACATTACTGTGAGCTGTATTCCTGTTGAACTCAAAAGTACAATCAAATACATTGCGTACAGCTAAATGCTATTACCATAGAATCCTGTGACGGATCCATTCACACCGTAATATCATCATTTATTCTGTATGTTACCATAAATATTATTGAAGATCTGTAGATAGAGATATTTTCACAGTGCTGTGAATACCTCACTTATATACAATACACCGCTGCCAGGTTTATTTCCATGGAGCTGTGTGATACACACATTCTATCTGCTATCTGTCTGCCTGTCTGCCTGTCTGTGTCTGAATCTATCTATCTATTTATCTATCTATCTGTCTGTCTGCCTGTCTCTATCTATTTCTCTATCTATATATCTCCCTATCTCCCTGTCTGTCTGTCTGTCTGTCTATCTCCTGTCTCTATCTATTTCTCTATCTATATATCTCCCTATATCCCTGTCTGTCTGTCTATCTCCCTGTGTCTATCTATTTCTCTATCTATATATCTCCCTATCTCCCTGTCTGTCTGTCTGTCTGTCTATCTCCTGTCTCTATCTATTTCTCTATCTATATATCTCCCTATATCCCTGTCTGTCTGTCTGTCTGTCTATCTCCCTGTGTCTATCTATTTCTCTATCTATATATCTCCCTATCTCTATATCTCTCTATTTCCATGTCTCTCTATCTCCCTATCCCCCTACTATCGTGTCAATCAGACTTGGGATACTGGGATACATTTTAGCTTAATATTACAGAAAAATGTACATTGATATATGGTGAAGTGATTCTGCCACCTTGTGGGCAAAGAGCATATTGTTATACTATATATATATTTATTTATTTATTTTTTCATTCTTATTTCTGAATTAGAACAACTGCTTTACTTGCAGAGGGAGACAATTGCAATTTTAAAAATAAAACATTGTTATTTTCAATTTGGAAATCTACATGACAACAGTCCCTATATATGAACAAGTAATATACTTGAGAGGTGTGTTAAGTCACACATGGTTCATTATCTAATATGCTGGGAAAGAGAATGCATTGCTCTTGATTAAAGCAGCCATTACAAAATGTGTTAAAAACAATAAATAATTAATGTCAAGATTAATATCTGAGTGTCTCAGAATTCTCCAAGGATTTTGCCCTTTTTGCTTGACTGACTGCCTTCATTAATTGAAACCAGGAACTGGCTGAAATCTCTCAGCCAATCCATGGCCTACTATTGCAGAGAAGTACGTACCACAATTGGCTTGTCATTCAATGCTTAGTCTAATCAGTCAATTCATTACACAGGTGTATGATTAGGGTAACTCACTAAAGTGAGGATTCAAGATGAATTAACAGTGAATTACTAAATTTTAAGTAATCTTTCACTTTTTACCATTTCATAAAGATATATTTTTTTATGAAATATTGACCATAGATCAGAGCCATCTATAATATTAATAGGACCATGGGCAAAGCATTTTTTTCTTGGCCCCTGCTGGACCCTGCCTCCCCATGCAGTCACGCATTTTACCCTAATGCAGTGGGGGAACTAAAGTAGAGAGGATAATGGAAATCTGCCATCAACCTTTGTCCAGTCCCAGCAGCCATCACAAATAATGTCTGTTTTTGTTAGAGACTAAGGGCAAGCAGCAAGGGGGGGGAGAGGATAATAATTAACTCCTTCCTGACCAATGACGGAATTATTCTATCATGGTTATCCCAGCCTAAAGGACCCATGACAGAATAATTTGCAAGCAACATTTTACCATCAGGGACTGTTCCCCTGCTGGTAACTGGGGAACTCAGGGTATCATTCAAATGCATTGGGTACCCCTCTGTCAGCTGGGGCCAGAATTAGTGTCCCCACATTGATGGGTGAGCTGACTGATGTACTCACCCAAAGTGAGCACTGCACAGACATTTAAAGTACTGAGTGTTCCATCTGACAGGAGATTTGAAGGGGTCTGTATTTTTTACAATTAATTTTAATTTATATATGTAAATGTTACATCAAATTAAAGTAATTTTTGTCCTTTAAAAAAAGCATAAAATATGTGTTGTTGCAGAATTATTCAGTAATCTGAAATATAAGCATATAATAGCTTAGTTGGAGACATTTTCCAGCTTTTTTTATTTTTTTGCCTAAAATTTGGATTTCAATTCAGTAGAATTCAGAGTTTATAGAATAAATAATAATGTTTGTTCTGACACAATTGGCTAGGCCTTAGTCCCTCTCACCCGTAATCGCTATGGAAGAGTTTGCCGAGCTATGTGATGTAGAGTTCAATATAAAACACTTTTATTCCCATGTAATTTCCAGTCCAGGGTGACATCACACTCCTCTACGTAATCAGCGCTGTATCTTCTGCGAGGCTAACAAGGCATTTGCCTTTGGCGGCACTTTCCATGGGGAGGCAAAAAATGCCGCCCCCAAATGCCCAGGCAAATACCTTGTTAGCCTCGTTTTAAGGGGTCACCTGTGGGCCCCCTGAGGCATGCGGCCAGTTCTGTCCCAGGCGGTCGGGCACGCAAAGCATGCCTCAGGGGGCCCACAGCTCCCTCGCGCGCCCTAGTGTAATGCAAGGAGTCACTCCGACTCCCGGCATTATTCTGCGACGCGCGAGGGAACTGAGCAGTAAGAGCTTAGCACCCTCACTGCATGCTTTGTGCTCCCGACTGCCTGGAACAGAACTGGCCGCATGCCTGCCTGTCTACCCAACAGCCCGGCCTCAGCTAGCCCAGCAGCCCCACTGGACCACAGGTGAGAAATATCCACCCAGCTCTCCTGAAGGTAGGGAGGCTGGGTGGATTTTAAAAAAACAAAAAACAGTTATCTAAGTGTTGGGTGGAAATGAGTGTGTATGTCTGTCAGTGAGTGTCTGTGAATGAGCGTGTGTGTCTGTCAGTGAATGTTTGTGTGTCTGAGTGAGCATGTGTGACTCAGTGAATGTGTGTATGTCTGTCAATGTGTGTCTGTGAGTGAGTGTCTGTCAGTGAATGTGGGTCGTTGTGTGTCTGAGTGATTATGTGTGTATGTCAGTGAGTGTGAGTGTATCTGTCAGTGTGTCTGTGAGTGAGTGAGAGAGTGTCTCTCAGTGAATGTGGGTGGTTGTGTGTCTGAGTGATTATGTGTGTATGTCAGTGAGTGGGTGCGTGTCTGTCAGTGAGTGTATCTGTCAGGGTGTCTGTGAGTGAGTGAGTGATTGTGTCTGTGTCTGTCAGATTGTGTTAAATCAATGAGTGCATGTGTTTGTCAGTGAGTGTGTGTGTCCATGTGTGTCTGTCAGTCAATGTGTGTGTTAGTCTTTAAGAAGAAGGTGTGGTCTTGACAGGGAGGGGTGGGTCAAATGTAAATTAGGGGGTGCCCAAGTTCCGTCATGCATAGGGTGTTGAACAGCTCTTTTGTTTCTCTACCCAACACCAGGCAAGACTTACAAGGTTATTCACTAAAGTCATAATTCAATGTGAATTCAGAAACTCTGACCTTAGATTTGAAATTTACTTTGAATTCACTTTGAATTACCCTATTAGTCTCTGTTCAGATGAAAAGGCCCCACTTGACAGTCATTGGAAGGTAGGAAAACCTCCTATGCAACATCAATTACTACATGTTGTAAAACGCAGAAAGCAGATTTTCCTCAAATGGTTCAGATTTAAAGTGCAGAATTTCTCTTTGATAATATCAGAGTATCCCATAACCATCCCCAGATTTATACATTATTAATCAACGGCTGAGAAAGGGACCACGCATTTCACAGGTCAATCAATAAACTTTATTTCACGTTTCGTCATTCATCACAGTGTCACAAAGTCATCAATAAAATTCTATACATATATATATACACACGTTTTGCATTTATAAAATAGAAATTGTAAAAATACAATGCACTGTAACTGCCAAAAGTGTATAAAGGACCATTGAGAAAGGAACATTCATTCAAACTTTATTGAGAAATCTTATATAAGTCGAAGGAGGGTTACGTAGTAGCCAGCTGCAACTGAAAATATTATCGTAAAAATGAACAGGATGTCAAAAATGTCAATAGCTCCATCTAATGTTTTCTCTCTATATTTCAAGTAGCAAAAATCAACATACCAAATATATCTGCTCTACCATGTTAAATTAACAAACAATAAGTATTTTTATTTTAACACATTCCTGTAGAAATATGTGTTGTGAGATCTATTTTTTGGTAGCATAGTTCTAATTTGTAACTATAGGAAACTTGCCAATAACTTTCTATAGAATTAACGGATTAGTAGATTGCATTATTTTTAAAATTAACCCCTTAAGGACACACCTTCAGAAATAAAATGGAATCATGACGGATTTTTTCCGTCATGTGTCCTTAAGGTGTTAAAAATTGAATAATTGCTATTTCAATTTTTTTTCGTGCATGTTTTTCATACACCCTTTCCCAAAATTGCTAATAATCTGTCAGGTCACATACTAACACCAATTCAACAAGTTTAGCCTACGGTGAGAGGTTATAAATACAGCTAAAATGGAGAATTTGATTTTTTTTTTGTCATCTGCATTTCTTACCTACATAAATGTATAAATTGTTGTTCACAGCCAACTTGATTCATTCTTGCTTATTTTGATTATAACAATCCAGTTCAGAATATCGTACCAAAACATGCAATTCATTTATATATTTTCACAATTGTTTTTATTATTTTAAAGGGACACCCAGATCTCAATGAAGTGATCTGGATTCAGTCATTTTAGTCCTGCCACAAGACACCCCTGACAGCTATTAGATGTCCTTCCACTGTGATAACAGAGTTAGTGTCGGCTCTTATAACTAACCTCCTCAAATGCTTTCAAAGAGAACATCTGATTGGAGGAAAACGGCACTGGACAAAGCGTTATCGGACAGCTACAGGGACTGCTAAACTAAATCTTTTTCTCTATTTTTTAAAAATTTGATTCAGGGGGCCTGAATCTAACTGCTGAGGAGAACACTATAGAGTTTGTAGTCCTAACTCTATAGCGTCCCTTTAAAGTTATTCTTGAAATTATTGACATGTGTAGAATGTGTGACGTCTATTGTTTGAGAGATCACAACTGCAAGAGAAAGAACTAATGCATTTGAGGAACTTATTCACTAAACTTCTAACCGTAGAGAACTGAAATTCAAACAGCAGAATTCGGTCTGAAATCGCCATTCTGTGATTATGTCATTATGCCATTCGGTATTTCAATTTGGAATTCATGTTTCTAGCATATAGTTGTTTTAGAAGAGTTTTACGATTTAAGAATGCACGAAACGTGTTTAAAAAGCATATTTTACAACAAGACAAATTCCGCAAAGTAAAAACTGGGCCCAGGGCAGATTATTTGAAAAATAAATACTTTCACTGAAAGCGAATTACAGCCATTGCTGCAGTTTTCAAGTATTTAAAAGGAAAATATTTGCCTACAGAAGTAACCTTTATATTATAAATACATATAAAACACTATTGGTTTGTCAGTTTTTTATGTCGGTTTTGTATTGACAGTTGTTTGGAATATAAAGTGATTATGGTGCTAAACCTTCTCTCCCTTAAACCAAAAAGGCATCAGCCATATAATGCTCCAGTTCACACCTAGACTGAAATATAATGCTTATCCCACCAAAATGGAGTGGGGAAAATGCATGGGGGGGTCAGAAAATATCTGAAAATACAATATCAGTAATAAGACAATAAGTATAAGGTGAAAAGGCAACAGCGCTGTGGACTGTAAAATACAAATACAAGGAAAAAAGAGAATACAATACAGTCAAGATTGAATAAACAGAGAATTGTGAAGAATTCACGAGGGAATAGCAAATTTGAGGCCAAAAAAGCTGAGCTAAAACATAGCTGGCATGGGGATTTTTTTTCCCCAGTGCAACTCTTTTGGCCTTTAATTCTCTTAACCTACGCCCAGATCTTTCCACCTTCTTATTGTCAGTGAAGAATTCTGCTTTATGTTAGACTTGCTTGGTGAGAAAATTCAGTTCGGCCGGAACATTTTTGCAAATATAAAACATCTTTTCAGGACAGCCGAATTTCAGCCATGTGTCGGTTAGCTCGGCAGAATTTCGGCAGCAAAAAAACGATTCGGGAAATGGATCAGAAAAAACAAAATAGGTCATCAGTGTCCAGCTAAATATATACATAGTATAATATTATATATATGTTTTCAGTACACAGATAGGAGTATTTGGTTCACAGATCTATTGAGACAAAGTAACCAATACAGAAAAAAGGAGAGTAGAAAAAAATCTATATTTATGTATTTACATATTATATATTTATTAAATATATTTGGCACCATGGGCAGAATTCACAATCCCAAATCAACACGAACATGCTTGTCTATTGCATGTTTCGACTGGTTCCTGGAGGTTAGGAAACCAACTGATCACCCAATTGTCTCAAATACGGACAAATTGCAGACCATATACAAGTCTCCAAGTCTATTTTCTATACTGAAGAGACTGAAGAGGGTATGGGTTAATTTTTTTGTCAAAACGCTCTAAAATGTTTCGGCCCGTTTAACGAATACAAGCACAGACACAGAGCTGGTAGAGAAAAAATCCCAGTGCGAAAAGTGTGACATACTTTAAATAGGTCATTGAATTATCTACCATCCTTCCATTTATTAATACAATAAAATAGACCTATACAAAGAAATATGTCATACAATTGTACACAATAAAATATATTACAAAACTACCATGGCTTAAAAAAATGTATCAATAAAATTATTTAAAGTGGATGTTTAGATTTACGACATAATATATATTATTAACACACAAGATTTACATTCGTTGTGAACCGTATAGGTGTCATAGGGTTGAGTAACAAATTATCTGCACAACCACTGAAACAGACCATAATTAATTTGTATATCATACTATAGGCTCAGATTATTCAGCAGCAAAAATCAGTGATTGTTAGTGGAACCTGTGCGTTTGGAGGTATCTGAATAAAAAAACGGAACACATTGAATACAGTGCAAAATATAACAGAAAAATGCCTCTTATGCTCTAACATCTGAAAATGGAAACATTGTACGTGGGCGGAGCCAAGTGAAGACTGGGAGGAGCTAAACTTTCCCAACTCATTTTACAGACCAGAGGTAGGTCGTAATGATCCAGCAATTTACTGCCAACCCCAGAACCATTAAGTTACCAGGTGTAAATACAAAAGACTAAAAAAAATTAACATTTAAAAAAAAAGCAACATGTTTTTCAAACAATCGCTATACACACAAATCTAAAATAAACTTGCACACAGACCTAAAAGGGCACTTTTTCTGGTCTTGGAACAATAGATTTAAGAGGAAGTCTTAAAACAGTGTTCGGTAATTAATGACTCTACAGAAAATAAGGGTTTAGGTGCATTTTAAGAAACATTACGAGAAATGGGAGATTGATAAATACCATATTAAAGAGAAATGGAGGGCATCAAATAACACATTTCTTATAAAAATATCTTAAAATATTTTGTGTTTACAGTATCAACCCATACGATTTTCTAACAATTTTAGAGACGGATATGCAATGGACTCTTAGGCAGCTGAAAAGAGAATATGCATTTTCAAAGTATCTTCTAAACCTACAGTACCACATATGGCCACCGGCATTGTCCAAGGTGTATAGTACCTTTGTCTTTTTACTTGTACTAATTGTACCCATGTACATGGCTGGGGAGTGTGTTAGAGCTTCATAAATAAAATTTAATAATAATAATCAGGACTGTCAACATTATTATAGACTTTAACAAGTCAAGCAGCTTATAGAGTTATTAACTAAAGTGAGATTTTTAAAGTGAATACAAAGAAAATTTACAATTTAAGGAAAGCATAAGCGAATAGACCATTTTTGCAGTTTGGCTATGTGTCCTTAAATCTAACATTCACTTGAAATTCTCACTTTAGTAAATAGCCCTGTTATTGTTCATATTTTGAATCCATCACAGAATGCGAAACGCGCGGCGATACAACTGTAACGCTTTAAAAGTGACTGATTTATAGTTACTGGAACCGGTAACAAGAAAGTGCTCTTTCTTTAAAAGTTAGGCTGTTAGTGTCTTAGTGTCTTGTTTTATACCAATGCCAGCTGACGGAAGCGTCCCATAAATTAGGTGTTCAGCCACCCATGGTGGCATTCTGTATTCCCGCTGCAAGACCGGTGATATTACTGGACGGGAGATGGACCCAGTCGGGAAAGGTGCCCAGCTGAAAAATACTGGATGCCCAGGTATTCATGGCCAGACTGAGAAGAAGTACCCCCATCAAATTCATCAATAATCCAGTTTTTGCCTAGAAATAATAAGAAAGAAAGAACAGAAACAAATAAACTTGATAAAAATGATACTCTGCAAAAAAATTCAGTACCTTTAATATGTATTCAGACCTTAGAAATGTTATATTTTATTATATATAAACCTTTAAATTAAATGTATTTTACTGAGATTGTTACTACTCCGTATATACTCGAGTATAAGCCGACCCAAATATAAGCTGAGGCCCCTAATTTTACCACAAAAAACTGGACTCGAGTATAAGCCTAGGGTGGGAAATGCAGAAGCTACTGGTAAATTTCTAAATAAAATTAGATCCCCAAAAATATGTATTTACAGTGTGTGTATATAATGAATGCAGTGTGTGTTTGTGTGTAGTGTGTGTATAATGAATGCAGTGTGTTTGTGTGTGTGTGTGTGTGTATATAATGAATGCAGTGTGTGTGTGTGTGTGTGTGTGTGTATAATGAATGCAGTGTGTTTGTGTGTGTGTGTTTGTGTGTAGTGTGTGTATATAATGAAAGCAGAATGTGTGTGTTTGTGTGAATGCAATGTGTGTGTATATAATGAATGCAGTGTGTGTGTATATAATGCAGAGTGTGTGTTTGTATGAATGCAGTGTGTGTATATAATGCAGAGTGTGTGTGTGTTTGTATGAATGCAGTGTGTGTATATAATGCAGAGTGTGTGTGTGTGTGTGTGTGTGTGTGTGTTTGTATGCATGCAGTGTGTATATATATATAATGCAGTGTGTGTGTATATAATGCAGAGTGTGTGTTTGTGTGAATGCAGTGTTTGTGTATATGATGCAGAGTGTGTGTGTGTGTTTGTGTAGTGTGTGTAACCTTGGTGGGGCGAGGGCATTTTTATTATTTTATTTTAATATTATTAAATATATATTTTTTATTATAATATTATTTTAATATTTTCGATATTTCATTTTTTTTGTCCCCCCCTCCCTGCTTGGTACATGGCCAGGGAGGGAGGGCTATCTCAATCCCTGGTGGTCCAGTGGATGGGCTGTGCAGTGGGGGGACCGGGGCAAGCTGTTACTTACCTTTGCAGCAGCTCCATTCAGCTCCCTTCACCTCCATTCCGTTCAGCTCCACAGTGTAAATCTCGCGGTCTGCGTGCCACGGCAATGCTCTGACGGCCGCGTGTTTCTCGAGATTTACACTGGGGAACTGAACGGAACAGAGGTGAAGGGAGCTGAACGGAGCTGCTGCAAAGGTAAGTAACAGCTTGCTCCCAGCCCCCAACAGGACCGCCGGGCTCATTACAAATACCTGGTCTGTATTATGGCAATGTAAGTTGCCATAACACAGACAGTGACTCAAGTATAAGCCCAGGGGGGCTTTTTCAGCACAAAAAATGTGCCGAAAAACTCAGCTTATACTCGAGTATATACAGTATTTTGTTTTACAGAATGTATTTAACATTTTGAATCTGCAAAATGTGTTTCTTTTTTTTTGACAAAAAAGTTAAAGGAACACTATAGGGTCAGGAACACAAACACCATCTAGCCCCCCCTGGCACCCCTACAAATCTAACATGTATTCCAGTCTGCTGCTGCTGGCTCTGCCCCTGATCTGCCTGCTTGTCTGATATCAGAAGTGTTGAATAAAAAACAATTACAAAGCTTCCCCATAGGATTGTCAAGGAGGCAGATTAGGGGCAGAGCCAGCACAAGCCAAACACAGCCCTAGCCAATCAACATCTCCTCCTAGAGATACATTCAATCAATGTATCTCTATGGGTAAAGTTCAGTGTCTCCATGCAGAGGGTGGAGACACTGAATGTCAGTCACACTGTGCAGCACTGTATGGGAGACTCTGAAAAGACAGTGTTTACTGCAAAAAGTCTGAAGGGAGTGATTATACAGAACAAATACAATAAGCTGAGGTTGTTCTTGTGACTATAGTGTCCCTGTCACGTATTGATCCGCACATAAAAATGTGATTTATGGCATTTACTGTTCTGACAGGAAAAGTTGTGCCGAGCAGCAATCAATCCACAGGAGGGTTTGTGCTGAGCAGCAATTATGCAAATGGGAACCTGCTAACTGCCTTTGGGGTCAAAGGCTGGTTACAACCAATCAGATCCACAGGAGGGGTATTTAGGCCCAGTTCTACTCTTGCTCAGTGCCCTGTCGTGGTTTCCCTTGTGGTTGTCCGAGAGCGCGTTATTGATTCTGGTAATTCTGGTTATTTGACTTTGGCATTGATTTTGACTTCCCTGTTTTCTGGCATCCCTGACCCCTGGCTTTTCCTTATCATTGTGTCTCTTTCTGTATACTTTGACCTTGACTATTCCTGACTATTCTTTGGTACGTTAGTCCGGTCATTCTAAGGTCCGGTATACGTTACCTATCAGTCCTCTGTGTTACACAATTCTACATGCTGGAACATACTGTAATCCTGACAGTCCCTTAATGAAAAAAAACAGATGCGTTCACCCCCTGTCCTCCAAATCAGTGAGTACTTTGTTTAATTTACTGCCAGATATGACACTGAGATGATGGACGTTTTGACAATTCACCCTGGCCAAGTTATTCATTCAAGCAAAATTGGTCAAGTTGTGTCAGTTTAGATGGGGGACACTCATGGACAGCAATTGTCTTGTCTTTTAATAGATTTTCATTCAAAGTGAGGTCTAGGCTTTCACTTGGTCATTAGAAATTCAGGATCTTTTGTGAATGTTCAGAGTAGAGTAATTACCTTCTGAAAGATAAACCTCTGCCTCATTCCCCCTAAGGTCAAGGGGTTTGAGCTAAGGTCAAGAATTTGTGGAACTTCATTTCTGACTTAAGTTCTAACCTACGGGTAAGTATTTCACCTATTTTGCTTCTTTTCACATCCTTTACTCCTCTGGGTATCTAGTTTTGAAATAACAACACTTCCTTAAACTACAATTCTTGAAACAAAAAAAATTGTGAAATATCTGTTGAGAGTTCCAAGAAGAGAAATTGTGACCAGAGCATGAACATTTGGTGAATCTAAAAATGTAACTCATTGATTTCCTACAAATCAAATAGATTTTTATAGCAACATTTAATTTTCTTTAGATTTTGTGTAAAGTGTATCAGATAAACCTTCCCAGAGAGTGAACCACTTTAGGAGTTAAAAACCTCCTGACGCTCTGGATTCTTTAAATGGTAAAAGGCAATATATATGGGTCCTTATTTTGGGGCCAAATCCCTGTTGTCCTCCGTTCGTATATCAATGCCCTCATGTTTTTAGGAATTCCAAATTGTTGTTGTCTTTGTACTTTACAATAAGAAGCTTACAATAACCTGTGTTTAAACTTTAAAAAGTGTTTAAATAAGAAAGATATTTTACACTTGCTCTATATGTCCTTTTTGACCATTTGAAATGCTGGGATGTGTGCATAGATGTCATTTAAAAATAATAACTAATGGTGGTGTTCGGGGTCTCTTTACTTTACATTCCTGCAACTATTTCTTCTTGCTCTGAGATTTTGCAGAGAATACCATCTACTAGTAATGGAAAACTCAAAGCACCATAACCACTACACCACATTGTAGTAGTTACAGTGCCAGTAGTGCCCTGGTGCCTCCCACTGTAAGCAGTCAAACAATTTAATAATGGTTTGACTCTTTACCTTGGGTCCACCAGGAACTGCTCGTTGCCTCCACTACTTCTGACAGAGAGCTGGAATGCAATATAAGAAGAACTTACCAGGTGCCCATAGCTGTTCCCTGTAATTGCACACAAATTCTGCCCTTCACTCTATTTGAAATGATGTGCCACTTTTACCCTTAAAATTATCCTCAGACATCATATGATATAGTTCATAAAAATTCTGCTGTGTCAATATTAGCAATTACCTCCTTATGTCATCCCAGCAATGTCAATGGTACTAAATATAAAGAATTAGGGGCCCAATACCAGTTCAAGCTTCCAGAGTTACTTCCAAAATGACTTAATTTTCCACAGCTCATACTTGTAATATAATTTGTCCCATTAATATTCCTGGACTCACCATATCTTTGACAAGCAGATGTCCAGTGGAGAATGCTATAGAGTTGGGAGGTGTGGATACGGGTAGCATGAATGCATAGGAGCAGCCAACAGTTCCAGGGATCATGAGATAAAGAGGATTAACTTTAAGCCGAATAGCCTGAGGAAAAGAGTAATAAGGCCTATTAGCAAGTTAGAGCCATGCATATATAAAGTATAAACAGATTATTTTAAGGGCACCTGCACAGTTTGAAATTATGGCAAAAGGAAGTGGCATGAAACGAGGGATATGATGATGTTGCACTAGTACAGTTAGGAAAGTACCTATGAGTTTAACCCCTTAAGGACCAAACTTCTGGAATAAAAGGGAATCATGACATGTCACACATGTCATGTGTCCTTAAGGGGTTAAGCATACCTTTCTTCTCGATATTTAGAATTCTGAGTACTTTGGAGGAGAATATATTAGAAAAACATCAATACAAGTTCCTGTGCATAAATATTTTTGGAATGGGTAGGGAGGTGTCTTTTGTCGGAGAGTTATTTGAAAATTATTTAAAACAATCACCCAGTACTTTTGGTAAGGGCAATTTTTACTTGCTGTACACTTCAAGGTGTGTAAAGACTTCTTTGTTAATGGCCGTTCAAAAAAAGTTTTTTCCACGGGTTTCAATGAGCATTAGTCGAGTGATAAAACAGATGACAACCAAGATATTTAGTCTTCTTCTCCACTGAATGTCTCCACAGGTAAAATAACTGTGGGATGATATATATTTTTTTAGGTTGCGGATATGTTTTCTTAAGTCACTGATGGCAGCTTAATGTCCCTCAATTGCTCTCTCAACATAATTTCTAAAATAAACAACTTTTTGTTTTTCCAAACGAGGTCCCATCAATTCCGCCAGAAAGTTGCATACTGAGAACTATAAAATTTGTGTTGCAACAACTGATGGCGAAGTAACATTGCCCGGGGTGGGAAAACATATTACTTATGTCACGCACATACATTGTTTGGAGCTCATTGTGGTAATCAATAGGAATCCAGACAGAGAAGCTTTATCATGCTTACCAGCTCAGAGAGTACAGGGAGGAAGACTATAATGGTTGCGGTGTTACTAGCAAATTCGGTGAAGGAAGCAATTAGTATAGTGACCAGGAGTACAGCCACAGCTGGTGGAACACCTTCAAGGGGATGCAGGCGACCTCCGATCCATGTGGACAATCCTGAAGCCTGCACAAAGAACCATGTTACATTACAAATCATGTTACACTAGTGTAAGAAGGTTTCTGCATAGACAAGTTGTACTTAGACACAATGTCACTTATTTAAAAATTGCTCTGCTGATTGAGATCTTAAAGGAACACTCTAAGTACAATAACCACTAAAGCGAGCCCTCCAAATGTAATTAGTCAAACAATTTGTTAATGGTTTGACTTTTTGTCCAAGGTATGTCTGGCACCAATCTCTGCCTCCTCTTCTTGCATTGGGGGGAGCACCAGGGCACTCCTGGCACCATAACCACAATACAAATCTGTACTGAATCAACCATGCATACTGGCTGGAATAAGATAACAGTTCTCTACCTACTGGGTGCTAAAGAACTTTGTGTAAAATGCATTTCAAACCTCGTTGGTACTTAGCGAATTAATCTTAAGGTGAAACAGGACTGTACATAATTTAAATGTTTCTCTTACAATACAGTAACAGAGTAAAGTGGTCACTTTATCAAGCCTTCCTATCGATCTGCTGTCTTTATACAGGCAACCACTAGTGAGATCAAATTCAGATTTGATTTATTGTTTCCTGAAGATACATTATAATAAATGCAAAATGGTTTATACTTTCAACATTAACCAACTAATAGAATCATATCCTGGACGAGAGTCAGCAATATTGACTCAGGTTTATACTGCTAATCTTTGGATTCTGTCCTCTTTTGATTCAATAATTGGAGTAGAATATATTGGTTAATTTACTAATGCTGCGTCAAAGACAATAAACAATATTTTACACTAATTTTGACAAAATAATGACAAAAAACTAAAAGTTAAATGACAATGATGAAAAAAACCTCCAATTTCAACCTAATTTCAATCAAAATATTCTAATTAATATTTAGCTTGTTTGGATGCAGGTAAAGTTGAGCAGGTAAAGCATAACAGGACCTGGGTTGGACTTGGCGGGAGGGACAGGGCAGAGTACTTTGAGCCACACTTTTGGAGAGGATCCCTCAACAACTCTTCAAACCTGGAGCTTCAAGGTCAAATGTGGAGATATTTCATGTATAATCATGAGGCTCACTGTTTCTGGTTCACATACCTGTTGATAATTATCAGACGATAATCCTTACAAAATAAAACCCTGTAACTCAATAATCTGAACTTGGCTGCCGTTTCCTCAGACCTGGTAACTGAATGTCGTGAGATGCCTGGAAACCGGGGACACTGTTTAATATATATATGGAGAGATGTTCTACCAAGTTTGGTAAATGAACTGGGAACTGGCAGGGCCATTTCAGCTAATAGTTGATTCATAAATTTTGTCTATTGACCTCACTTTGCTCTCTTCTGGAAAATTTTAAGTTTGGTTACAAATAAAAAGTTTTAATCTGTCCATTCCATTTATTGTGGCTTTACCCAGAAGTAGTAATTTCAAAAACGATGGATTAGGATTTGCAAATCCTCGTTTCTGGGGGCAAAATCAATTTCATATCACTTGGGAGCCCTGGTGCAGGGATTCTTTAGTGCTATCTCCTTACCTCACAACCCTTTGCCATTGCAAACCCTCCTCCGAGAAGCAAAATGATGTTCCAAGGCACGGTGTCCTGGGCTTTCTTCCAAGATAACAATGCTCTATTTTCTGTATTAGGAGCTACAACAAGAAATGTCATATATAAGTTACTATGTGCAACAATTCAAACTTGTTAATTAACTTTGGAATAGATAGCGTGCCTCATTCACTGTACCTTTTAGATCAAACCACCACTTTAATGAAGGTTTTTCAGCTGGGAAAAAGAACAGGATAATGGCTATAGTGATTCCTGTAACAGCGTCCGAGGTAAACCTGGTGAGTAAGAAGAATTGCGAAAATTACATTATTGTATTATTTATTATTTGGATGTAATAAAAGCAAATTAACATTTTTGAATATTAAGTGTCTCACCACACCATCAGTAAAATCCTCGATTGCTGGCTCTACCCCTGATCTGCCTTCTTGCCTGACATTATCAGAATGCTTTCACATACGATTGGCTGAGACTGTCAAGGAGGCAAATCAGGAGCAGAGCCAAACACAGCCCTGGCCAATCAGCATCTCCTCATAGAGATGTATTGAATCAATGCATCTCTATGAGGAAAACTCAGTGTGTGCATGCAGAGGGTGGAGACTTTGAATGGCAGTGCTGCTTACTCTGCAGCACTGCCCCAGGAAGCACCTCTAGCAGCCATCTGAGGAGTGGCCATTGGAGTTATCACTAGGCTGTAATGTAAACACTGCATTTTCTCTGAAAAGACAGTATTTACAGCAAAAAGCCCGAAGGGAAAGATTCTACTGACCAGAAAAAATGCAATACACTGTAGTTGTTCTGGTGACTATAGTGTCCCTTTAAGTGCCTTCTTTCTAGATGCTATATAAGGATCAGCAGGTAAAAAAAAAAGCTTTCACTGCCTCTTACCTGCGTCAACCATCAATGAAGTTACAAAGACGCAAATGAAAGAGTCACTCTAAGTACCATAACAACTTTGCATCACATCAAATATAGGTGATATGGGTACATTACAGCCTAAGGATTGTGCTTATAACTACAAAATTTGCATAAATCTCCCCAGCTATAACCTTTCCCTTCGAGCTCTTAGACATTGGTGGAGGATTTTTTACTCCGTTCGAAGCTAATCAAGACCCATCCAACCTAGGACAAAACCTCATTTTCCTCCAGTAGAATGGCATATCTCTAAGTTTTTTAATACTGAATTATCAGTTTCAAGATATTTGAAATAACACATTTTCCTTTAAATTACCTGTCTGTATCTGATTGGAAATTAATTTATGTAATTAGGAAGTAGAAACATCCACACCCATTTTAGCTATATCTGAAGAGGAACCGGACTGTGAGCCCTCGGACAACGCAGGGGACTGTCAAACTGTTCTAAAATGGTGTGAATTGTATCCATGAGGCAGCACCAGGTGACTCCTGCCACTGTAGCCACCACTGTCCCCTGCAGTGTGCTCCAAGTGCCCCATTAAAAAACAAATAAGTGCATTTTATGTCTTATATGAAATCTTACCCAGGGGTAAATGCAGAGGACCATCCTGGGATAAATTTTGGATCCCTTGTAAATAGAAGGATTGCAAAGAGGCAGAAAAAGAAGAATACGGCTTTTTCTGCAAAACTAAAAAAGAAATCTAAATTAGAAACTGGTTTGCCTGTGGCGAGATATCAATTCTGCAAATTCAGAGTTTACATGCCAAACATTTTTGACCATAAAACATTAACGCAATTCATGCGGTGCAGTGGGATGATATATTGCACCCTAGAATCTATTGCACAAACATTCTAAGCTTGGATAGGGCTGGTAAGACCTATTAGGTGACAACCACATGTCAAAAAAACAAGTCCTCCAACACACAGACTAGACACTAGCGATTATTACTAGCTAATACAATGCTTACTTTGTGGGCCCCAACTTGCGATAATCTTCCCGTATCACATCTCTCGCTTTGGCTTCAGCATCCGTTCTTATTACCGACTTTTCTTTCCTTTTACAACTGAACAAAGAATGAAAAGAACATAGATATGAAAACTAATATAGAAATCGTCCAAAACTAAGGTTACCAACCAGCCCCAGAAGTGAGCTTGCTATTGTTATGCATTTTACCTCAAACTAATTGCCCCGTGTAAAATTGAGATCCACAGCCATCCAAGAACCAGGAAGATAACCATCAATGGAAAGGCAAAAACAAACCAAGAACCAAAGTTCACAACGTCGCAATCCGGAAAAAAACTGTGGAGAACCGAGAGGCGTTAGTATTTACAGATGTAAAAATGCGGTGCCATGTCACCCACACTTCATGACACTAATTTTCACAGCTAAATTGGTGGTCTATGGGTACTAGAAGGGAGTAGGTGAATTGAATGGTCATAGGGGTTTTGGGTCTTGATGGGAAAGGAGCATTAACCCCACAAGCTCATCTCCTGTTCCAAAATCGATGCTCCTTGAGGTTCAAAAACTTTTACATGATAAGGCGAAGCTTTAAGGCTAATCTCACACATTGTTTGTAGTCCGTAACCTACCTTTTTAGTTGCCCAAGGAGGATGAGGTTTGGTGCAGTTCCGGTAAGAGTGGCCGTTCCCCCTATACTGGCGGAGTATGGGATTGATATAAGGAAAGCCTTCCAGATTCTGTTCTGATATTCACGTTCTTTTGTAACATCTGGATGGACCTCGATGGAAAAGTCTGACTTCTCTGGCAGTTCTTTGCTTTATAATGAAAACCACGAGATACATGGTTTAAAAAAAAAATACAGGAAATACAGAAATATTGGCTGGGATCATTAAAACATTCTGGAAGTGGACACACTGTCTAGAATTTTCAGGATTAATTCCACCTGAAAGAAGTACGTTAAAAAGTGCCTTCAGAGTCAATATTTCTGGTGGGTTCTCACACTTTATCTCAATGAAGGGGTCTTGGTGCAGTGGCCCTATCCTTTACATTGCAGGGTTAAAACCATCTCTACATAAATAGGGAAGGGAGCAGTATAGTGTTCCTTTAAAGACCAGGTCTTCCCCCATTCCTTTTGTTTACAGAAGTTTGGCGGCAAAGTTAGGGTGATGTGGAAGGATGGGAATAATCGTGCATGATGGGCACTTTCTTAAAAACGAGTTGAGATTGGTCAGAGCTTAGAGGTACTTCTACTACTCAATGTTTAGGTGCAACATCATAGTCCCAAAGATAAATATTCATACCAAGGGCCTATGGGGAAAATATGCCGGAAACCTGGGTGAGATCACCTCTTGTACAATGAATCATACAGTACGAACATACACCGTAATTGCAACCATACCTCATTGTTAGATTTTCTATTTATTGCAAGACGTTTAAATTCTCAATATTATACCGCTTACACCATGCAGTTTTAAAAATAAATTCACTACTTTTCAACTTTTCATGTCAATATATAAACCTGACTTTTGACGGTTCTATATAAACCATCATCGTCTAAAGCTAAAACATGGTGCAAACATGGATTTTAAAGTTAATAAATGTCTAATTTTCAACCTACAGATGCAATACAAAAAGCATTTAATATTCCTAGTGTATCTATGATTGTTGTGTTTATTCTACAAATATAATGTACAAGATAAATGTTCTGACATCTTGCATATCTATCGAAATAGCTTTTTCAAGCTTTGCTATTTTTTCCTGCAATTTACTGGTTTATTACAAACATTTTGATTATAAAAAGCTCAAAATGAAGAAAATAATTTGTAACTTACACTTCATTGGCTGTGAGGAGCTGGGCTTCCGTAGGCACTAAGTGTAGGCCATTTTCTTGCAAGTTAGCTAAAACGCCAAGAAATTAGTAATTAGATGAAGAATTTGAAAAGAAAAAGTGTGTAAAGAAATAAAAGGAAACGGCAACGATTTTTGTAATACTTTCTGATGAATACTGGCCTTTCCTGCTTTAATATACATTTGCATTCACAATTCGCATGATTTCGATCTGAAAGTTTTACGATTATGAATGGAAACCCCCTATGATCAATGCTACTTATTTACCGAAAGACTAAGATGGTATTAATGTTCCTTTAAATACCTGATCTTAAAGGGACACTCCACTGCCCAAATCCAAAAAGAAAAAAAGAAACATCTCTGTTTAGTAGATGTACCCCCAATGAAAACATGTATGCATATAATAATGCCTTTTTACATTGTGAGTATATCCAAAAACAAGTTGTAAAAGCAGCAGATCTCTTGTCTGTTGCCTTTGCAAGCCCCTCCCCTTCTAACTTCACCCATTCTTTTTGTGGATGTCCAATCAGGGACTTCAGAATGCAGCTCAATGAGAAGCCTTTGCAAGGCATATGGAGGGCGGGCACACCAGCCGGGGTGGTGCAATATCCCATTGTGTCTGGCAGAAGAGGTGGTGCACAGCAATTCCTCTACTGTCAGTTACTCCATGCATCATGGCCACACAGCAGTAGATGATCTTGTTTATCCTCTACCCAGACTCATATAGCCCATATTTTAAATTGATAAAGAGGGACACATTCATCTTAAGGGGGTAAGTAGGGGTGTGGCCAGGTGGCGGGGATGCTCTGAGAAGTTGTAGGTGACTTACTAATATTGCTGTATTATTGCTGTGGAGCTCTGTTATACACTCAGACACACCAACAATATGGAGTTCCTAGAAAAGATTGACAGATGGATTGAAAAAAGAATCAGAGAGATTTGGGATCAAATAGGGACTGTCCCTCCTGAACAGGGACACTTGGAATGTATGTAAATGTCTGACAAGAAGCTGGGAGCAGCGAACAGCTTCCTGTCAGACCGGGTAGAGGAAAATTAGATTCTCTACCGCGGTCAGCGTGGCCACGCTACAAAAAGGAGGTAAGAAGGCACGTCAGGAGGGGAGACACAAAGGGGCTGGAGGGAATAAAAGACACACAAAAGGGGTAATAAGAAACATGCAAGGAGGGTGTACAACACAAAAAAGGGGGATAAGACACACTAAATGGGGTATAAGACACAAAAGAGGGTATAGGAAACACAAAAAGGGGTAAGAAATTCAAAAGGGGGGGTAGAATGCAGATTCCCCTGTGTAGCCAAAATACTTACAATGGCCATGGGCAGCTGCTCTTGGTAATTGCTGCTTCTTGAATTTACCTCAACTGACCTAAACAACTATGAAGTAACTGGACGAAATTTTTGTAAATTTAGAAGAAAAAAAAAAGAGGACTCACTCTTCACACATCATGCTACTCAGTAAGCTGAAGTGCTTTAGGGGTCTGAAGTGTCCCTTTAACAATATTGCATTGAGCATGTCAGCTGATCTTTAGATAAACTCAGCCAATCCAAATAAAGCTCCATAAATGGAAATCCCCAAAATATAAAAATGGCCGATCTTGGAAACATGTTTTGATCGTTTTTATTGGCATGCAGGCTGTACGCAAATCTGAATAAATAAATGGTTTGTTTAAAATTGGAGAAAGCAGAAATGGGAATCTTTACCCGGAATATTGCTTAATAGTGGTGTCGTTGAATTTATACACAAAACGTTTAGGGAAGACACAAAAATAACGAGAGCTCACAAATACAGAACTGTTTGAAGAATGCAATGCAAGTTCTGGGTGGTGATTCCCAATTCATGTTTGTATTTCTCTGTATAGTTTGAGCAATGGTCCGCATCTTTGGGTTTCCCAACACACTCCCTATACATATGTGCCCTATAAAAAGTGTCCAAGCCATTTTTACAATAGGAAAACATCTTTGGGTAAATTAAACAGGCCAGAGCAGGTGATATAACACTCTCCCATGTTAAGATTAGGTTTGGATCCATCGATATTGGCTTGCATTTACATAGTGGGTGGCTTAGCACTGAATGGTCATACATTGTAACCATAAGTCATACACTATACTTTTTGCATTTTGTTATAAAGTGGTAGACATCTGTTAATATATGGCATACATAGCATCCACCATTGATGGGGTAACTATATAATAGATATCTGCATAACTCTATGTGTCTTATAATAAACAGGAAATCGATTCAACAAGAGAACAGTCCAGGAATTCTTACCACAAATTGTCCATCTCTCCACTAATCAGCGATGAAGTAGATCCAGGATGAGGTTGGGTCAGGACAGTTAATTACTCTTGTTCTATTATTATTATTATTATTATGATATTTATAGAGCGCCGTCAAATTCCGCAGCGCTTTACAATGGGTGGACCAACAGACATGTAGTTGTAACCAGACAAGTTGGACACACAGGAACAGAGGGGTTGAGGGCCCTGCTCAATTAGCTTCCATGGTAGAGGGAGTGGGGTAAAATGACAGAAAAAGGTAAGGATAGTATTAGACTAGTGACAGTTGCAGAAGAGGAATCAGTCAGGAGCTATTAACAGTTTAATTGATACGCTTTTATGAAGAAGTGGGTTTTTAACGATTTTTTGAAGGAGTGGAGACTGATGTACGCTTTTGTCTCAAGCCAAGGTAAATAACACACCCTAGGGATGTCCTGTGATATGGTATGATCTCTTAGGTTTCATTATAAATGTTTCAAGAATTATTGACCTTTGTAAATCAATTTTTCTCCAATTTCCTGCTTTAACTAACCCAGATTAGTTTGATCAGAGGTCAAATGTATGTAACAAGCACAATAAGAGAATTTAAGAATCCTTGGCAAACCTTGAAAACAAATAAGTAAAATAAATACTCAACGTGGGCAGACAAGATGGACCAACTTGTTACCTTATCTTATCACCATCTATGGCTCTACTATAGGTGCGTTTCATGTATGAAAACAAAAATAAGGCTCAGGTTGTTCAGTACAAAGTCTTTTAACTAAGTTACTAATTAGACATAGTTTTCTCTTTGGGGAATTTACAAAAGATAAAGCATTCCGAATTCTATTCTATGTCCCACTGTTAATCATCAATTTGGATTATATGACATGAAAATATGAATATGTAATTGTCTAGATAAGAGCAGGCTCGGAGGGGTCTTGGAGTGCGTAGCAAGATTCCTGAGGTTTTGTAACACTATGCAGGAAAACATACATGGAAACGGTTGATGAGATTTCACAATAACATCTAATTCTGGATGGTTTTACGCTACGTTTACGCTTCTTATGATTGGTAGCTTACACAGTGCCACTCGGATCCAATACCAGAAATATAACTGACTACGGTAGGTATGAGAGAGATGTATTATCAGTCCTTAGAATTCGCCGGATTTAATGTAGTTAATAGGATAGTCGAGAAACAAGCCAGGGTTATGGAGCACTGAAAGAAGTGTAATTAATTAACCCCTTAAGGACACAACTTTTGAAATAAAAGGGAATATTTTCGTCATGTGTCCTTAAGGGGTTAAACAAGCCAAGGTCTAGGATATCTGGGAGTGGAAAGTGTAAAAGAACAATCTGGGATCAAATAAAGCCAAAGATCAGACAGGCAAAATTGGGTCACTCTTGGGTCACCACAAGGTAAAACCACAAAAGGGCACAATACCCTGCATAGAACGAGTTTAAATAGCTCTAGAGAGCTTGTTATAGGCCAGCGTCATTTCTGCGACACCAAACAGTGTGCATGCGGTGTCCCACAAATCATGTAGGCACATCCACTTGAAAAATGAGACAAGGGCGTTCAGCTTCAATACAAAGCGCAGGTTTGCATTGGCATGCGCCATAAACGACACAAGAGGAAGGATAATGGAACCACAACACCAAAGGTCTCAGAGAAGGAGCTTATTGCACCAGAGTGGAAGTGACCAGCTAAACTCTGGTGTAATAAACTACTTTACTGAGGCCTTTGTTGTTGCAGTTTCATTATTCTTCATTTACTCTACTTCTGGAGTTCACAGAAGGGGACATCAGGAACCTGCACCCATTTATATATGCCTGTCAGTAGTGCTGGTCCCTCTCTACTTTTAAACTATGAGAAATGATGCAATGGCGTTCCGCGTCAATACAGAACGCCATTTTGAATTGGTCCACGTCAGAAAGGACGCATTGCGTTCAGGATCACAAAAGGATATGGATAGCAGCATAAATGACACAAGATGACATGTGACTCTGGAAGGCAAGGAAGCATGGCACACAGGTACTATGACAGCAGCACAGACAGACAAACCGACCACTTTTGTTTTCTAGAAGTTTGTAACCGGTGTTAGTGTCAAACCCCCCTGCCCACTGCGCTTAGTCAAGTAGGAAATAAAAATGGAAAGAAGGATCTGTAGTAAAAATAAGTAAGGACTTGGGTCAAATGTGAGAATTAAAGAGACAACGTAGTCACAGAAGCACTAAGATTATTGCATAACTTCTGTAGCAAGAAGTTGCAGGAAGTCTTTGGATTTTTGAGATATTAGACAAAAAATTGTTCTCACTCATACTTCTCAAATAATGCTTAAGTTTCACTTCCTGGTAATCCATCCAAATGTAGACTGGAATGATATGCTATAACCATCTAAGGTTGGTTAGCTTTGATTGGACAATGAAGAAGCAAACAGCATGGCACCATAATCACTTTAATAAGTCGTAGAGGTTATCCTGTATAGAGTGTCCCTTAAAACATTAGTAAACTTATCTATCTTTCATTGCCTGCATAAGTTTAAGTTAGGACCCACAAAAATGGGGCACATTAAAGTGTAACTTAAAGGGACACTATAGTCACCAAAACAACTTTAACTTAGTAAAGTAGTTTTGGTGTATAGATCATGCCCCTCTGGTTTAACTGCTCAATCCACTACCATTGAGGAGTTAAATCACTTTTGTTTCTGTACATGCAGCCCAAGCCACACCTCCCCTGGTTGTGACTGACACCGCCTGCATGAACAAAAAATTGTTTCATTTTCAATCAGATATTAACTTACTTGTTTTTATCTCCTGCTCTGTGAATTGAACTTTATTCACATACAGGAGGTTCCTGCAGAGTCTAGAATGCAATTAACATTTACGAAATTCTGGGGGGGCGGAGCCTGACCGCCGAGCAATACAGACGTGGGCAACACGAGCTCCCGCCTGACGGGCCGAATTTGGGGCAAAATCACCGGCTACATAGACTGCAGACTCACCGGGTTGTGCTACCCATGCTGGGAGTGCACCACGGAACCGAAGGACACCCCTCTGAAACCCGTCGGGGCCGGGAAGACGAAACGCCGAATGCGGCCTACTAAAGTTGGAGCCGGGGGGAGACGGCCGCTCAACCCGACGCCAGACACACCAAGCGACTTTACAGGTTTCCTACCCCCCCCCCCTTTGGACCGGTGGGGGTTATCCCGGTCCCCACTGGGAGAACGGACTGTGGCACCAATCCCTACCCCAGCTGTCTGAACACAGTAGGCAACGCAAGGCACCCCAACCTCACAAAATGGCGGAGGCCATACCACAGTCGCAGCAAACTCCCGCACGAGCACCCCCAGACACTCTTGAAACCAGACTGGACGCTTTGTTCCAGGCATTTTGGGACAAACTGCGGACCCGTGCCACTGCCGAACAACCCAACCGGTGCACAGAACGGGAGGCGGGCGCTTCCCCTCCGGGTAACCTACGCCACATATCGCCTCATCGCACCAGCAACTGCCCGCCCAGGCTGATAGCCAACAGAGGCCTGGCCTCAAGACATCGACCACACAGGGAGAAGAATGCACGCCGCAGGCGGCGGATGCCACCGCGATTCTCTAACTGCCCCTTAAGGGGCCAGGACCGGGCCACACGTGAGTACCGAGTCCGTGGACAGAAGGTGTCGGCTTTCACAACATCCTGGGGCTGGAGGATAGCCCCCCGCACCCGCTGTTCCCCGGTTAAACCCGGCAGCCAATCTCTGCAGCTGACAACCTGTCAAGCTACCTATCCTCTCAGGCAGAAAACACCTCCAGGCACAGTATCCCTGCGACAGCCAAGCAAGCGGAAAACCGCTCGCCTTGACCGCAGCCTCACACGACCCCTCATACAGTTACAGCTGAACACCGAGGACGATGGACCAACGACGCATACCCTTCTGCAGATCCAGAGCTGGAAAAGAGCCATGGAACAGCACACTGTGGTAGACAATCGATGGGACTACCCTACACTTGTACCGCCCATACCGCTACTGGGGATCGGCTGACCGGGTGCCTGAGCCCTCACCCGGAGTCTCTGTTAACCCACGGAAGACACCGTGCAAAGGGACATACCAGATAAGAGACTCCCCATTTTCTGTTGAGGAAATTCTAGCTCAGCTTTGTTTTATTTTGTTGCCTATAACTTTGCCCCTACTGGTTGCGCAATTTGCTATGCCTGGGCCTGAACCCAGTGGTATAATGTTCTCTATGCATGCATGACTTTATGTTCAACAAGCTTGATTACACACAGACACAAATGTTTAGCAATTTTCAGCTTGATGCCAAAAGCCTGTATAATCTCACGTAAAGTATCACACGAGAATAAGGCACACTTTGGGTACGCAGTCTATATACAGCATACGTTCACTACTTCGAGCTCATGCAACTACTCGAGTCAGTTTCAGCTTCTAGCATGTTGTACCCACACTACCTATAATACCTATACTGTTACATGTGCAGTTATGGATGTGTTAGCAATTTACTTGTTCTTATATATTAAAAAAAGAGGCAGACGCTTCATGGAGGCAGTCCCAATTGTACTGTTATAATCCTTTTAAATTGTATCTTAAATACCTCCCCTTCTTTTTTCTGTTCCCATACAACTATATGCCTCAATAAAAGAAAGATTGACAAAAAAAAAAAAACATTTACGAAATTCTAAATTAAACAGAATGTGCAATACAATTTAAACATTAGCTCTCATTTTACAGGAAGTGTTTAGGAAGGTTGTGTAAGTCACATGCCAGGAGGTATGACTAGAGCTGTATAAACAAAGTGATTTAACTCCTAAATGGCAGAGAATTGTGCTGTGAGCATTATCTATACACCAAAACTGCTTCATTAAGCTGAGTTGTTTTGGTGCCTATAGTGTCCCTTAAATCAACCCAATGTGTACATATATACACTGCACAAAAAAATAAAGGGAACATTTAAACAACACAATGTAACTACAAGTCAATCACACTTCTGTGAAATCAAACTGTCCACTTAGGAAGCAACACTGAGTGTCAATCAATTTCACATGCTGTTGTGCAAATGGGATAGACAACAGGTGGAAATTATAGGCAATTAGCAAGGCCCCCCCCAATAAAGGAGTGGTTCTGCAGGTGGTGACCACAGACCACTTCTCAGTTCCTATGCTTCCTGGCTGATGTTTTAGTCACTTTTGAATGCTGGCGGTGCTTTCACTCTAGTGGTAGCATGAGACGGAGTCTACAACCCACACAAGTGGCTCAGGTAGTGCAGCTCATCCAGGATGGCACATCAATGCGAGCTGTGGCAAGAAGGTTTGCTGTGTCTGTCAGTGTAGTGTACAGAGCATGGAGGCGCTACCAGGAGACAGGCCAGTAAATCAGGAGACGTGGAGGAGGCCGTAGGAGGGCAACAACCCAGCAGCAGGACCGCTACCTCCGCCTTTGTGCAAGGAGGAACAGTAGGAGCACTGCTAGAGCCTTGCAAAATGACCTCCAGCAGGCCACAAATGTGCATGTGTCTGCTCAAAAGGTCAGAAACAGACTCCATGAGGGTGGTATGAGAGCCCGACATCCACAGGTGGGGGTTGTACTCACAGCCCAACACCGTGCAGGACGTTTGGCATTTGCCAGAGAACACCAAGATTGGCAAATTCGCCACTGGCGCCCTGTGCTCTTCACAGATGAAAGCAGGTTTACACTGAGCACTTGTGACAGACGTGACAGAGTCTGGAGACACGGTGGAGAACGTTCTGCTGCCTGCAACATCCTCCAGCATGACCGGTTTCGGTCAGTAATGGTGTGGGGTGGCATTTCTTTGGGGGGCCGCACAGCCCTTCATGTGCTCGCCAGAGGTAGTCTGACTGCCATTAGGTACCGAGATGAGATCCTCAGACCCCTTGTGAGACCATATGCTGGTGCGGTTGGCCCTTGGTTCCTCCTAATGCAAGACAATGCTAGACCTCATGTGGCTGGAGTGTGTCAGCAGTTCCTGCACGACAAAGGAATTGATGCTATGGACTGGCCCGCCCATTCAGCTGACCTAAATCCAATTGAGCACATCTGGGACATCATGTCTCGCTCCATCCACCAATGTCACATTGCACCTCAGACTGTCCAGGAGTTGGCAGATGCTTTAGTCCAGGTCTGGGAGGAGATCCCTCAGGAGACCATCCGCCACCTCATCAGGATGATGAACAGGCGTTGTAGGGAGGTCATACAGGCACGTGGAGGCTGGGAGAAAAATTCGGCCCGGGCATTTTTTCACCACAGCGGCCCACTAAGAAGGGGGCGGGGCAGAGGAGGTGTGTTTTGTCATCACCAATGACAAACATGCCCCCTCTCAAAGTGAGCATGTTGGTTCAATGCTCTCCCAGGGCAGACCATGCGCAGAGCTCTGCTGAAGAGCTCTAGCATGAGAAAAAAGCTCTGTATTTGTTCTGCACAGGTGCAAGCAAATTTAATAACATCGTGCACTGTGTTTCCTTGCATCTTGTCTCTGGTGTCTCTATAAATGGATACCAGGAGACAAAAATGCCAGAAAAGAGTATTGTGCATGTGTTTGGAGCCTGCTTGTGGTATTGCGTGTGTGTAGAGTGAGCTGGTGTAGTGTGGTATTGTGTAATAAGGTCGGTTTTAGTCATGTTGTGTTTGTGGTGTAATGTAATGCATATGTGGCTAGGGGCTGTAGAGAATGTGTGTGTGGGGATATAGCGAGAGTGTGTGTGCAGGCTATAGTGTGTGTGTGACTGTGTGTGTGTATAGGTGATGTAGTGTGTGTTTAGGGTGTAGTATGTGTTTGCTTACAAGAATCTAGTGTGTGTATGTGTATATGTGTATATATATATATATATATATATATATTTGGAAGTAATGTGTATGTGTGTGGTGCAGTGTGTTGGGGGTTCTGTGTGTATGTGAGGGGTGCAGTATGTGTGTGTGTGAGGGTGCGGTGTGTGATGTGTGTGAGGTGCTGTGAAGAGTGATGTGTGAGAGAGAGTGCTGGGTGTGAGAGAGTGCTGTGGGTGATGGGTGTGAGAGCTATGTGAGAGAGTGCTGTGTGAGAGTGCTGTGTGAGAGAGTGCTGTGTGTGATGGGTGAGAGAGTGCTGTGTGTGAGAGTGCTGTGTGTGATGGTGCTGGGTGAGAGAGTGCTGGGTGTGAGAGAGTGCTGGGTGAGAGAGTGCTGTGAGAGAGTGCTGTGTGTGAGTGTGAGAGTGCTGTGGTGTGAGAGTGCTGTGTGAGAGAGTGCTGGTGTGATGGGTGTGAGAGAGTGCTGGGTGTGTGAGAGTGCTGGGTGTGAGAGTGCTGTGTGAGAGAGTGCTGTGTGTGATGGGTGTGAGAGAGTGCTGGGTGTGTGAGAGTGCTGTGTGTGATGGGTGTGAGAGTGCTGTATAAATGTTAGAATGGATTGTGTGTGTGTAGGGGGGTAAATAAACAAATAAACTAAGCAGGCATTATGTTCCCCCCCTTCTTACCTTTAGCCTGGGAGGGGGGGGACCGGCACACTGGTGACTGGAAGGCGGGGTGGCAGTGTTCCCTGGTGGTCCTCGTGGTGAGTGAACTCTAGCCCGCATAGCCTGTGGGGCTAGAGTTCACCCTCGCGAGATCAGGTCGTTGCCATGGCAACGTGCCGGATCTCGCGAGAGGAACCCGGCGGAGCTTTAAGTTAGAGCTCCGCCGGGTCCTCTCTCCTGGCTGTCTCCCTCCCTCTCTCCCCGCTGGCGGCCACATTATACAGCATGTGGGCCGGTAGGGGAGATCTTTGATCTCCCCACCGGCCCTTCATGAAAAACAGCGGGGCCGGCGCTCGGATAGCACCGGCTCTGCATAGACCGGCAGGGGAGATCCTCGGACCTCCCCTGCCGGCCTCGGCATTTGCCCGGTGTGCCCGATGGCCAGTCCGGGCCTGCGTGGAGGCCACACACACTACTAAGCCTCATTTTGACTTGTTTTAAGGTCATTACATCAAAGTTGGATCAGCCTATAGTGTGTTTTTCCACTTTAATTTTAAGTGTGACTCCAAATCCAGACTCCATGGGTTGAAAAATTGAAAAATTTGATTCCCATTTTTTTATTTTTGTGTGATTTTGTTGTCAGCACATTGAACTATGTAAAGAACAACGTATTTCAGAAGAATATTTAATTCATTCAGATCTAGGATGTGTTATTTTTGTGTTCCCTTTATTTTTTAAGCAGTGTACATAACTCAAATGTTTTGCTCTAAATTAGGTGGTTTTACAGAACTTTGTTAGATTGGTAGTTTGAGTAGGGCTTGCACGGATTTTTTTTATATTCTGAGATTGCATAATAGACTAGATGAGCTAGTGTTTATTTTCTGAAAAAGAATTGTCAGCTGCACTCCTCCAGAATCCTTCGACCTACTGTAGTTCTCGACCTACTGCTGTTCTCGGCCTGCATCAAAAGAATGAGGAATACTCCTAATTAACCCTGTTCTGGAATAATTCCCAGCGCTATGAACAGAGAATGATATGCAAATTTTAGTCCGAGGTAAATTTTAGTCTTTCGTCTCAGCTATATTTTCAGATGGGCTGAACGGAAATTGTTGATAATTGACAAACTTTAGATTTTAGAACAAAGTTGGCAAGGTGGAAAAATATGTGAGTTTGGATGTTTTGGCCTAAAACATCCGAGCGGTCTTTAAAAATTCAAGTTTATAATACTCCTGAATGTAAAATGCTGGGGACATGTTAGTACAGGAGGGTTCTAAATAATCTGTTAAATACCCTGAAATAGTTCTCTTTGACGATCTTCAAACTAGTAGAGGCGTTTATTCACTGAACATTGACACGTAGTGATTTGAAAACTGAACAATTTAGGAGGTGTGATTATAGTGTACTCTTTTTCCAAATTAGCAACTTTAGCCTACATTTTGCCGTTTGATTTTCAATAGCAACAATAACTGAATAAACCGCATAAACCTGTAAAAATTATTGAAAATCACTCTGAATAGGTTTGGCCCCTACAGGCATCCATACCGTCTATAATAATTGCGTTTTTATGGGTTAAAAATGAAAGTTTAACATAGCATTCAAAATCAGGGAAACAGAAATGCAGTTATCCAGAATAATACTTGTTATATAATAATGATAAAAAAATTAAAAAAATAATTTTTTTTTTAATGATTTGTTTAAAGTCAAGATTTTTACCTGAGCTTTCCTCATTGCTTGTAATTCCCCTCTCCTCACAAAACTTTTCTCCAAAAAGGCTTTTAAGGATTGCATTTGCAATAGGAAGCATCATAGCCGTTGACGCAGTGTTACTCAGCCACATTGAAAGGAAAGCTGTGGTCATCATCATTCCCAGAATGAGCCTAGAAAACGAACACATTCACTTTCATTAGTTATATTGTATCATCATATCTCCAGATGGATTAATCTGTTCAGGCGCAGATTAAATGGCATTCAGGTCGTTCGCACCAGCTGAAACACATTTGTGCACAAGTCTGTTTATCGCTATCCTGCCATCTTGGCGTACATGTGAGCTGGAATGTTACTCCACCTTTGTAAACAGTCACACTGCCAATAATGGTAACTGTGCCACGGGTATGTCCTCAATCTCGCAGTCAAAGAAAGACTGGCTAAACGAGGCCAGTAATCCGAACTCTGAATGTTGAGAATTGATTGACAGGTGAAGGACCTTTATTTAAATTTAATTCTCTTAAACAAAAATCTGTACATTTAATGGCTACTAGCACAATATTGAGTTGAAATTGTATACTCTTTGTGCATCAGTTGCTATATCCATGAGAGGTAAAATGTACCATCTAAAGGACAGTTCATGCCAGAGCCACATGTGACTTTTGGTTCCAGTTCCAGTGAGGCTCATAAAACTCTTCAGGGCCAGCGCTACAAAAAACCTGCACAGGCAGCCATCACAGGGCACATCAGCCAAGGATCAGTCTGACCAGCATGAGGGAAGCACACTGCATCCCTCATGCTGGTCATTTCTTGGCCACAGGCAGGGTAGAAGAGCTTTGTAGCAGAACCACTGCTTATTCATATGTTCCCCCTTGTATTGTGTGTTTTCCCTGTATTTTGTTTGCTGTGACTTGTTCTCTCAAGAGCCTCCATACGAAAAGAACCCATTCGTCTCCCGAACGGGGACCACCCTGGTGCCCTATTAGAATGTTCACACCCAATTAATTAGAGCGTTCACACCTGTAACATAGGTGTGAAACAGCAAGAAAAGTAATTTAATGAGTGCTCCCCTGGGTGGCCACCATTTCGTATAGACGAATGCCAACCAGGGGGAGCAGTCGTATCCCGAAAGGAGACGCTTCCCTTGCCTGGAGTTCGGACAAGAGCCGCACCCGGGCTCCCAAGCACAGAGGATCCCGGGATGAAGACCTCGGTTGTTTTTGTGTGGGAGATCCCTTGTATGTGGGGCGGGCTTTCTGTACCTGGGAGACAAAGAGACTAGGTCCCTTTTCCCGCGCCTGTGCTCCCAGGCACAGACGATCCTGGGATAGAAACCCCTGTGTGTCTTTGTGGAAGACCCCTTGCAAGGGGTTATGCATAAAAGCCGTGTTTTGCATAATAAAATCGTGTTGTACTCCCAGAGCTGTGTCTCGTACAGTTACTGGGGGAATGGGTATCTTTATACTGTAAGCGGTTCCAGAGGGGCTGAGGGAAGGAATTAGCGGAGGTAACAGGTCGGGTTACCCGGGGTCCGCTACAAGCTTATTTCCCTCTACCCGGTCTGACAAGAAGTGCACACATGAGAGCACCGAACTACTTCCTGTCAGATCAGGTGAAGGGAAACAAGCTCTTCTATCCCAGCCCACAGCTCGGCCACGCTACACAGGGGAGGTGTGCTGGCACTTTGGGGGAGGAGGAGGTAAGACACATAAGGGTGAAGGGAGAAAATAAGACACATGGGGGCCGGTGGGGGGGGATTAGAGTTTGGCCACCTCTGGACTAGGCCATTATTTCAATCAGATCTTTGAGGATTCTATTCCAAACTGTAATTACCTAATATTTCAGGAACTAGATAGTAAAATATTACAGTAAGTTCTAGAAGGATTTCTCCAAGCTTCTTAAACACTACAGACCGGTGTAGTGGTTATGATACCAGGAGTACCCTGGCCGGTTCTCCACTAATGGGGCAAAGCTTTTACCAATGGTTTGCCCACTTACCAGGGTCCCCACTGGTCTCTGATGCTCTCTTCTGGTGATGTGCAGTCATCAACATTCGTTAGCTCAGAATTGACATTAGCAAGCTCGGAACTCTAGCTGATGACACTACGTTGCATGGAATTCTGAACATGCAGATCACAACCACCATTACAAATCATCAAAGTGGTCATGAACACGACATAACACATAAAAAAAAATAAGAATGAGTGTTTCTAAACAATAATGAAAGCTACCCCTAATAATACATAATATAATATAATAATGAAGAGTAAATAATGGTGTGTACCTTGCTGGCTGGACTCCGACCAAAATTAGGACTTTTAGAGCAATTCTCCGGTGAAGATTCCACTCTTCAATGGCTGCCGCCATGAGAAGGCCACTGAGAAACAGGAAGTTGGTATCTAGAAAGTACTGCGGACACACTTTGCTGGATGGAAGGATCCCCAGAAATGGGAAAAGGACAATTGGAAGCATTGCCGTAACCGCCAGTGGTAGCGCCTCCGTGCACCAATAAAATGCCATCAGTAACACCACATAGAGGCATTTTCCTTCCTGAAAGTAAAATATGTTTGATAGCTTAGTATAACTGCTTGGATGAAACTACAATTATTAAAAAAATTACAAAAATCCAGGACAGTCTGCTATAAAGCTTATGGTGGTTGTAGTCCCATGATGCCATCCTCCAGTAAATTAAAATCTAAACTTCAAAATTTGGGCTTACAACCAAGCTTAAACTATCACTTAAACTGAGTTGGATAAAATGTCCAGATCACTCTTTTAACCTCAATTTAGATTTGAATTCGCTAAAACATGGGAAGTTTTTTTACTAAACTCCCTACCATAGCAAAATGAAAACTTTATCTTTTGTGGCCCAGCACTAACATAAAGTCCTGGGACCCCTCTCTTGACTGGTAAATCAATTCCTTTTGAAACATACTCCCCCTATTCAGTTCCGAGTACCTTAGTTTAACTTTTCAGGCCATTTGTGCTATTTTCTATTACATGTTAATACTATTATTATTATTATTATTATTGACATTTATATGGCACTAAAGTCGGCAGACAAAAAACAATTAGATGAAGAAGGCACTGTTCATATGAGCTAACACTCTATCTACCTCCACTCTCTCCATTTCACCCTTTTATCCATCAAAGTCCCTTTGCTTTTGTGACAAACTCCCCTTTTTACATGAGTTTGTCACAAGCTCCTGGAATAACTGGAGTTAAAGACACTGTTTGTGAAGCAGCACTTCAAATTCTCAAAGCGGTTCGAAGCGTCATTCGAACACGTGGTGGTGGCCATCTAAAGCCGCGAGCCCAATGAGCGGTGTTTGGTCGTCGAGTACATGGAACTCAAATCGGACACTCGATGGTAGGAACACCGCTAACTACTTAGCTTCCACGGATATTCGGCTATTCGAACTGGAGTCGAACGGTAAGACTAAACTCCCGAACGAGAGACATGAACTGAGACAACTCCCAAAGTTATACGTTTGGTATTTTATATTTCACTTTGAATCCCCAAAGTAGACCGACCGCACAACCTGATTCTCTGGAACTGTTTTGGGCATGGGACCATGCGTGCGGTCGGTCAAAATGTGACTTCCATAGAATTCCTGAACCCCTGAACTGATCTGGCTCGATTATTTTGGATGTTGGTCACCCAGATCAGGGCTACCAGGGGATGTAACATTTGTGGGGATATTATGTGTTTTGGGGATACTTTGGGGTTTTTATAAAAATATGTGTTTTTAATACAGTATCTGACTCAATTATCTCTCAGGCAGAGGAGAGGGATTGTATGTTTGTAAATGGGAGTGTCATGCATTTAAACTCTAAAAATGTGACACCTCCTCGAATTACTAAAATGAAGATTAATAATACACTACTTTAGCATAATCTACAATAACAGCATCATTCCTACAAACAGGTAATACAGTCAGGTTTCATACAAATAATTATTACATTTAAAGGAACACTATAAAGTCAGGAACACAAACATGTATTCCTGACCCTATAGTGTTAAAACTACCATATAGCCCCCCCCCCCTTCCCACCACCTCCCTAAATATAGTAAAATTGTGCCTTTATTCCAATTTGCTTCTGCTGGCTCTGCCCCTGATCTGCTTGCTTGGCTGACATCATCAGAAGTGGTGAGCTCAGCCAATCACAAAGCTTTCACATAGGATGGTGGAGACACTGAATGTCAGTCACACTGTGCAGCACTGCCCCAGGAAGCACCTCTAGCAGTCGTCTAAAGAGTTGCCAGTGGAGGTTTCCCTAGGCTGCAATGTAAATACTGCCTTTTCTCTGGCAAAAAGCCTGACAGGAATAATTAACAAATGCAGAACAAATGCAATAAAAGGTAGCTGATATGATAACTATAGTGTCCCTTTAATTATTTATGTCTGTAAAACACAACGTATGCAACAGAGTTACAGTGTGTTTCTATTTCCAGCTCTCATTATTTCTGCTTTAAGAAACTGTCTACATTATTGCCAGATAAGAGATACAATAACGTCTCATTTATCCTCCTAATAAAAAAATCTAAATGTGTAAATCCTTATACTATATTTAAGTATCCCTCACCGGCTGTAAATGTATATTCTTTATATACAACTGATACTCGAAAAATTAGAATATCGTGCAAAAGTTCATTTATTTATTATTTCAGTAATGCAACGTAAAAGGGGAAACTAATATATGCGATAGACGCATTACATGCAAAGCAAGATAGTTCAAGCCGTGATTTGTCATAAGTGCGATGATTATGGCTTACAGCTCATGAAAACCCCAAATCCACAATCTCAGTAAATTAGAATATTACATGCAATCAATAAACCAAGGAGTGTACATAGAACAATATCGGACCTCTGAAAAGTATAAGCATCCATATGGACTCAGTACTTGGTTTGGGCCCCTTGCAGCAATTACTGCCTCAATGCGGCGTGGCATGGAAGCTATCAGTCTGTGGCATTGTTGAGGTGTTATGGACGACCAGGATGCTTTAATAGCAGCCTTCAGCTCTTCTGCATTGCTCGGTCTCATCTTTCTCTTGGCAATGCCCCATAGATTCTCTATGGGGTTCAGGTCAGGCCAGTTTGCTGGCCAATCAAGCACAGTAATCCCACGGTCATTGAACCAGGCTTTGGTGCTTTTGGCAGTGTGGGCAGGTGCCAAGTCCTGCTGGAAAATGAAGTCAGCATCCCCATAAAGCTTGTCTGCGGAAGGAAGCATGAAGTGCTCCAAAATCTCCTGGTAGACGGCTGCATTGACCCTGGACTTGAAGCACGGTGGACCAACACCAGCAGATGACATGACATCCCTAAATCAACACAGACTGTGGAAACTTTACACTGGACTTCAAGCATCTTGCAGTGTGTGCCTCTCCATTCTTCCTCCAGACTCTGGGTCCTTGGTTTCTAAATGAGATGCAAAAGTTGCTCTCATCAGAAAAGACGACTTTGGACCACTAAGCAACAGACCAGGTCTGTTTTTCGTTAGCCCAGGTAAGACGCTTCTGACGTTGTTTGTTGTTCAGGAGCGGCTTGACAAGAGGAATACGACATCTGAAGCCCATGTCCAAGATCCATCTGTGTGTGGTGGCTTTCGATGCACTGACTCCAGCCTCAGTCCACTCCTTGTGAAAGTCCCCAACACTTTGGAATGGCCTTTTCCTGACAATCCTCTCCAGGCTGCGGTCATCCCTGCTGCTTGTGCACCTTTTTCTTCCACACTTTTCCCTTCCACATAACTTTCTATTAATGCGCTTTGATACAGCACTTTGGGAACATCCAACTTCCTTCACAATTACCTTTTGAGGCTTTCCCTCCTTATGGAGGATGTCAATGATGGTTTTCTGCACAACTGTCAGGTCAGCAGTCTTCCCCATGATTGTGATTCCTACTGAACCAGACTGAGAGACCATTTAAAGGCTCAGAAACCCTTTGCAGGTGTTATGGCTTACTTAGCTGATTAGAGTGGTACACTGTGACCCTAGAATATTGCACCTTGTCACAATATTCTAATTTGCTGAGATTGTGGGTTTGGGGTTTTCATGAGCTGTAAGCCATAATCATCGCACTTATGACAAATCACAGCTTGAACTATCTTGCTTTGCATGTAATGCGTCTATCTCATATATTAGTTTCCCCTTTTACGTTGCATTACTGAAATAAATGAACTTTTGCACGATATTCAAATTTTTCGAGTATCACCTGTAGTATCCATGCATCTGGTGTATTAGAAATGATTATGCTTGCCTACCCCTGATCTACACACTAAGGCAGCATTGTTGGGCTAGAGTTTCGGTGCCTCTGGTGTCCCTTTAATGTCATTCACATTGCTTCCTGTATCTTCCACAATCCCCACACCTGCTTTGTCCCACCATTTTAACTTCTTATCTCCCACCTGGATTTGTCCTTAATTTTACCCTTGTCCTTTTAAAAAAAAAAGATTTTTTTTTTTTATGTTTTATAAGTATTCTATCTATCATGGTGTACAGGAGCAAGTTGTGTTTTGGCTATAAACTATCAAGTCTTATAAATGAGGTGATGTTTAGAAACAATGTTATTTTTATTTTTTTTAAATAATATAAAATAAATCTAAAAAATTTAATTCTTACGCAATTTTTTTGTAAACAGATAGAACTTGGTAGTGATGGGGTTAATTTATGGTTTACTATATGTAATCCACATACAATGCTTTCAACAGCTGAACTAACAAGCAGATAGCCTTGAATGCTGGGTCCCTAAGTAAATTATTTAAAACAAAAGGTTTTTCTTATCATCAAAGAAACTAAAGTGTTTACAGGGCACCAACATACAAGAAAAGAAAAATGCTGAAGGATTCAAAAATCGAATGTTATCTTGCTATTTACATATTACTATGTAGTACGCAGTGTGCAAGAGTGTGCTGTGGAACACAGTAAAGGAGGAGACTATATTTAAAAGAAGAAAAACGACCACAACAAGAGGACATAGTCTTAAATTAGAGGGGCAAAGGTTTAAAAATAATATCAGGAAGTATTACTTTACTGAGAGGGTACTGGGTGCATGGAATAGCCTTCCAGCTGAAGTGGTAGAGGTTAACACAGTAAAGGAGTTTAAGCATGCGTGGGATAGGCATAAGGCTATTCTAGCTATAAGATAAGGCTAGAGACTAATGAAAGTATTTAGAAAATTGGGAAGACTAGATGGGCCGAATGGTTCTTATCTGCCGTCACATTCTATGTTTCTATGTGTATCCCAGAGCTCCACAGAAATAAAATTCACTGAGCTATAGACTAAGCACTGAATTGAGCTTAAAAATGAAATGTGAAACGTAGACTGAAATAGCCCAACTGTGACTACAGCGAAGTTTCGATATTTTGTTTCCAAATCAGCCATTTTTTGCCTAAAGTTTGCAGTTTGTTTTTCAACAACAGTGCAGTGTTTAGAGAATAAATCACAGAGTAATATGCTGTATGTATGAGTGTATCACAACACACAGTAATATGCGATGTGTATGAGATGAAAGATAACAGATAGTCACATTCATAGCGATTTGTTTTCAAACTTGTACTCTAAGCAGCAACATCACTACAGCTTGGTGTAGTAATTATGGTTTCTAAGGTATCTGGCTGCTATTCGCCATCTCTTCTCCCCCTTGCTCCCTCACACCCCCATTTTATGTCAAACTAAATAAACAGGATTCTCCATGACATTTTAAAGGGTACCTGTCATGACTATGAAAACCTATGCTCTTTTGAAAGATGATACCATTCTATATATGCATTGTGTTAGCAGTTTTACAAGTAAATGTATAGATTGTGAGAAAAACCCATTTAAAAATAGATTCTCCTCCCACCTGTTACTCAATTATTCTGTGCCAAAGAACTGACTGATACGGGAGAGGAGCAAAGTCCTCCCAAAGGAGGTCCTTCTGCACTCCATACATGGCAAGCATATAGCATACGCTGTGGTTATTATGATAATTCTCTAGCCAACACTTCTACCACTCCCTAAGGAGTATAGGAATGGAGTGACTGATGCAGCCATGGTAACGTCACAATTGAGCGTGCACTCAGGAAATGGGCTCAAACGCCCAGCAGCCTCAAAATTTGCATTCTGCTTCCTGGTGCTCCACCGAATCAGGATGACCCACGGATTTCCCACAAGGGAAATACAAGCGAACAAATTCTGAGGGCAACACTGTGAATAATAATTAGGAGGCTATCTTATTCTTTATTCGGAGACAAAAAAACATAGAAAAACACCAATTACTGCAACGTTGGCCCATTCTCGAAATGCATGATTAAGGCTACGGTAGAAACATTACTGTGATTGGTGTTTTTCTATGTTCACAGTCTCCGAATAAAAATAGCCTCCTAATTGCATTATTCATCGCGTCAGCCTCCAAATTTGTTCTCCAGTATGATGATCCAATGTGTCGTCATCACACAGGACTTTTGCCCTTCTCGGGGAAGTGCTACCAAGCGGGGCAAATCACAGAAAACTGCAGGAGGAGAAAGGGGAGAACCCGAGGTGGGTGTTGCACAAAGAGTAATGCCCATGAAGAAAATGGTGGCCCAGAAGAGGAGGTGATTATAACTTGACAATTTACATTGAATACATGATGTATCTTTGTAATATGTGATACATTTAATGTATATGAGGGCGATTTCGACAAATTTAGTATACATGTCACATGTTCACTTTAATGTCAACTGTGCCCGATATGGGCATCAGTAATGGGTGAGCATACTTGCTAAAGATTACTCCCAAAAATGTCACATTTGCACCCGTCCAGTGTCATCCACTCTTATTGTTTCAGGCTGAGAGTGGTGTGAGTAGTGTTTAATGTTGCTTAGTGTGTCCCTTTAAAACCAATTTGCCCTCTGTATTTTTATTTACTTTCTCTGTGCCCATGCAAAACGATGTATTTTTGGTTACTAAACCCAAACGATGAATGAAAGGTTTATTTTTAATACCACAGAAAATGTTAATCAGATTTAGACCACTGTTGAACAAAATTGGATTAAGGTGGATTACAGAACCATTAACACATACACATATTTTACTAGATTTGGAAAATCCATGTTGGCAAAAGCAGCTGGCATGGAAAAAAACTGTGATATTGTTTTTTTGTGAACAGATGAGCAATGCCAGCCTCATTGGCACTTAAAGTGTACAAATCTTTTTTTAAGAACGGGAGCTGAAGCTATAGTTTTGCACGGCCCTCTGGGACAGCCAAGCGCTGCCAGATTATGTTGCTGACAAATCACTTTCCCTACAAATCATCCATTGTTTTAACAGCGAATTCAACATGGGTAGAAACTGGAGCAATCAACTTAAATAGAATACCCAATTAAACGGCTGTTTTGCATTTCTTTGCTAAACAGTTTGTAATCCATAACCCTTTAACCCCTTAAGGGCACAGCTTCAGAAGTAAGAGGCCAGTATGACGGAAATGATGACAAATGGCATACCTGCACTGTATCAACACGTAGAGTTGTTCTGTATATCTGCTGTATAGTTTGCCATCATGTACTCTAGAATTAAGATGGTCAGCATACCTGTACTGTACAAACTTGTTTATGGTCATCCACTAATAGAAATTTGCCCATGGGTTAATTAAACATTTGTAATAAAATGGGGGGGCTGACATCCAATATAGCTAGACGTGGTCATCTATAGTTCCTGTCAGTTTGGGCTAAAATCTATTTTTTTAACCACACTCGCACGGCTTTGTGGAGGGACAGATGTTATTGTTCCTGACCTGAATCCTTAGACTGAGCAAAAGCTCTGACTGTCTGTGTGGACTACTGTGCATGCCGTGCTGGAGGAGGGAAAAAGCGGCCGATCTCCCGACGCCGATAGGGTGCACTGAGGTGTGATCCTACAGCCCTGCTACTCCCCCCCTTTGGACCAGTGGGGGTTATCCCAGTCCCCACTGGGTATTACAGACTCGGAGGTGGAGATACCCCTGACTGACTGGTGCCTTTAAAGCCACGAGGCGCAACCAAGATGGCCACCGTGTTGGAACTTCAGCCCAGCCGACCAGATATCACAAGCCAGGACTGGAAAGTGTCCTTTGAAGCGCGATTTGACACAACATGCCAGAAGTTCTGGAGTAGAATCCACGACAGACAAGAAGTACTCAACCCTTTTGCCACTCCGATGCCCATGACAGGTGCCTGCACAATCCGTTCCTCTTCTGGGCCAGGGGCTGGCCTGAAGCGACGACAGGGCTGCCGTCCATACACCCATGGGGGTGTCCGAGTGCAGGATACCCTGTGGACACAAGATCCTGCCACCTGGAGCTGTGGGATCTATGGACATGAGGCCCCCTTCAAGGCCTGGAGCCGTGGACATGGAGATGCAGTGCTTGGGGTTCTGCTACACCCTACATTATTCAACTACTTGCAAAATCTACACACACTGGTGTCGGAGGAGGTGATCTCTGTTCTTAACGGGAAGCTGACCTCCCATCTATGGCCTACATGTGGTATTGGATGACCTGACTTGGAAGTGATAGGCCTTAGGCAGTCGCCTAACTGACCTACTTACAGAGCAATTTCTGGATCCATGGGTAACAGGCCAGAAATCCCTCTAGTGGCTGTCTGGTAGACAGCCACTAGAAGTAGAGTTAGCCCTGAAAGTTAATTATTGCAATAGAAATAGAAACTGCAATAATTACCATTGCAGGGTTAAGGGACCTGAGACGGTGCACTCAGACAACTTAAATGAGCTGAAGTGGGTTGGGTGCCTATAGTGTCCCTTTAAGTCAGCTCCATTTCCTGTGTCAGAGAAAGTATTCACCCTCCTCCTTAACACAGGAAGTGGAGATGACTTAAGCTCCTCCTTGTGTCAATGAATGTCAGCTCCAGGAAAAAAAACATGTCTTAAAGAAAACTATATCTGCAATAAAAAAGAAGTACGTATCCTGAGAGAGGAAGAGAAGAGGAAACAATAGGAGAAAGGTAAGTTCGGCGTGACAGTGCCGCTTTAAAGGGACACTATAGTCACCAGAACAACTACAGTATAATAATGCTAAGAATAATGACTGTCCCACTGGAGTCGAGACAGTTGGGTGGTATGCCCTATATTACATATTTGTACTGGGGCTCACTAAAGTTCCTAAACTCCCTAGCCACTGTAACCATAGCAACCACAGCACATGCACTGTGGTTGCTATGCATGGCGTGCAAAAGGACCACATATGGGAGGTCTATTCTGCTCTCCCTGTCACTCAATCGTTTGGCTTAGAGTCTTTTCCAAAGAATTAACTGAAGTGGGAGAAAGACCTATTTTCAAAAAGGTTTTTCCCCCAATCTATACATTTGCTAGCAATTTAAACCGCATAAAGGTATTCTTTAAGACGTAAGGCAGAGGGAGTTGGTTGTGGATTGAAATAAAAGAATAAGGGGCCTGTCTTGACCTTTTCACAGGGCGACAGCTCTATGTTATTATTATTATTATTTTATTATTTATATAGCGCCAACAAATTGCGTAGCGCTGTACAATGGGATGTTTACATAAAATGTTATGTAATCCTTTAAATAATGTGTAAAATCACTTTATAATGGTTATGCCTTTCACCTTGCCAAGAATATGTTTCAAATCTTATCTTATTTAAATGTTATCCTCCTACAGAAAACAATGGATGCCAGGGATTTACTTGGTATATATACACAACCCTTACATTCTGCAGATCCCAGTAACATATTCTTGTCAGAACACTAAGAAAAAAAAAAAATAAACTTTCGTTATAGACTAGCTATTGATATAGATTAAGGGTTTATATAAAAGGTTATATTTAAGGTACAAAATGTGTGACCACACATTGACATATAATTTATATGGCTAAAATAGCGCTGTGCTATTTAATACAAACTGAGGAACTTAGTTCTCTAAAATTAAAAAAAAAAATACACTTTTTAATTTTTAATTTTAGAGTGTCTTTTTTTGTTTTAGTTTTTTTTTGGAATCCGTGAGCGATGACACTGAATGACCAAATGTCTTAAAGGACCACTATAGTGCCAGGAAAACATACTCGTTTTCCTGGCACTATAGTGCCCTGAGGGTGCCCCCACCCTCAGGGTCCCCCTCCCGTCCGGCTCTGGGGAGAGGAAAGGGTTAAAACTTACCTTTTTTCCAGCGCCGGGCGGGGAGCTCTCCTCCTCCTCTCCGCCTCCTATCCTCCTCTTCGGCTGAATGCGCATGCGCGGCAGCAGCTGCACGCGCATTCAGCCGGTCTCATCTACAATGCTTTCCTATGGACAATTGCGTCTTCTCACTGTTATTTTCACTGAGACAGCCACTAGAGGATTTGGAGGCTGGATTAACTCTAACATAAACATAGCAGTTTCTCTGAAACTGCTATGTTTATTAAAAAAAGGGTTAATCCTAGAGGGGCCTAGCACCCAGACCACTTCATTGAGCTGAAGTGGTCTGGGTGCCTAGAGTGGTCCTTTAAGGTTGAAGTGCTACTGTTGGCTGGCTGTCCGTCTGCCACTAGAGGTGTGTTCTCATACAAATGTAAAAATTTACATATTCAAAAAAGATCCATGTTTTTCTTGTTATCCAAGTCAGAGAGCAGTGTCTGTACGCCAAAACCAGTATATCAAGATGTAGTTGTTTCGCCATTCCATGAGTGCTCTTTTAAAGAGGAATTGTCAGTTTTCTAAAAGTTACACGTCCTGGTTCCTCTACCTCAATAAAGACTACAGAAGGGCCTATTCAAGTGAGGAATCCAGATGAGTTAATTATAAAACATACTTACCTTCTTTGCCACTGACGATGTTTTCACATCGTTAAGGTATGGGCCTACTCAAGGGCCCACATGCAGACAAAGTCATACCTGTGTGTGTTCCCTTGAGAATTCCTTCCCAAACTACCATTTATTTGTGTGTTTGAGATACCTTGTAAGCTGCAGCAGACCTATGCAATACATGTTCCCCTGTTTGATCTAGGTATGTGTCCCAGGGCTGTATTTACCACAAGGCAAACTGTTTTTTTTCGTGTCCTGGGGCTGTCCACCTTAGGGCCCCCACGAGGTGAAAATATTCTAGCCGGGTGGCCTCCACTCTTCTTGCTTTCGCATGTGCCCTTCTGTGATGCTGGTAGCCGGAATATGATGTGGCCCCGGTATCACTAAGCGCGGCGCGAGCTGTCAGTGTGTGTCTGTGAGTGAATGAAAGTGTAGGTGTGTCTGTCAGAGTGTGTCAAATCAGTGAGGATGTGTATGTCAGTGAGTGGGTGTCAGTGAAAGTGTGGGTGTGTCTGCCAGTGAAGTGTGGGTTGGTTAAACAGTGTGTGTGCCAATGACTGTGTATTTGTCAGTTAGTGTATCAATGATGGCCTATGTATAGATGTATAGATTGTGAGAAAAACCCATTTAAAAATAGATTCTCCTCCCACCTGTCACTCAGTTATTCTGTACGAAAGAATTGACTGACACGGGAGAGGAGAAAAGTCCTCCCAAAGGAGGTCCTTCTGCATTCCATACATGGCAAAATACTGTGTATTTGTCAGTGAGTGTATCAATGATGGTCACTCAAAAAAGTGGCCTTGACACGAATTGGGGGGGCAAATTTAGATTTGGGGGATGCCCGAATTTAGTCGAATTTAATTAGTGTAAGCCTCTTTGCGACATTACATGAACAATATTTATTACACTTGTGCATGGCAGAAAAATGTGGTTCCTTCAAAAAAAAAAGTTTTTTGTTTGGGTATTCCAAAATTCATTAATGTGATGTTTCAGATGGATTTTGTGAATAAGTATTCTGGGAGGGAATCAACATGGAGAGAAAATGGTCCAGTCAGTGTACTCCAAAATGTCTGCAGAGCACACAATGTAAGTTTTACGTATATATCTTGCAATACACTGATAGGCACACTTTCTGGCCATTGGGTTCACACCATAACCACAGTGGGCTGTGGTAATTAAGGTGCTTTAAGTTAAAGTGCCCCTTCATTGTTTTCGGTGTCTGTTAGAACTAAGCGCTACGTAATCTGTTAGCGCTATATACATGGCGATAATAATAACTACCTGAGATTCGCCGTGGTAGTGATCTCGTATCCTAAAAAAGCAGGAATCGCTGTTTATTTACTACATGACATTACAGCACTTCATGCACATTTGTGGTGTGGTTCCACTTCACCTACTGGTGTGTCGTGCGTTACAATATTCTGTAGCTGAAAACACATTACATTTACGCTTGCGGGCATGAATTTTGAGAATGTTCCAGAACACAATTTTGGTCAAATTCTTACAAGGACATGCAAAAAGTGGCCACACAGTGAAATTTGAAAAAAATATGCTTTTGTTTTCATTACAGACCTTATAAAAACACAAAGTAAAATATAATATAATATAGCACCGATTGCTGTATAAACACTCAGAATAAGTAGAAACCCATCCTTGACTCTAAAGTGCATTCACAAATGTTCCTTACGGTGTCTTTTTTAATTTATTTATTTAAATGGTGGGCTACTGAAATTAAAGGAACACTATAGTGTTAGGAATACAAAAATGCTCTAGTCGGTGACTAGAGCCCCAGTTCGGCATTGAATAAATAGTTAATTAACCATTTATTTTCTACCTTAATCCAGCGCCAGGCTCCCTTGGCAGTGGTGACCTCTCCTCCTCTTTCGACGTCAGCTCCCGAGTGGAGCTGAATGCGCATGCGTGGCCAGAAGAACGCACGCATTCTAACCCGCCCATAGGAAATCATTACTCAATGCTTTCCTGTGGGGATCTTTTTGACACTGGAGGTCCGTGAGCACATCCAGTGTCAAATAAGTGCGATTTACTCAGTGTAAATTGCGGAAGCGCCACTAGAGGCTGGATTAACCCTGCAGTGCAAACATAGCAGTTTCTCTGAAGGGTTAAAACTAGGGGGACCTGGCACCCAGACCACTTCATTGAGCTGAAGTGGTCTCGTTGCCAATAGTGGTCCTTTAATCAAATTAGTCAAAGACCCAAAAAAGACTGAAATCAGATTTGGCCCTGAAGCTTAAAAATACAACAAACCCATATGTGAATGTCATTCCTTTATTGTACTAGTAATGCAAACATAGGGCTTAACATTTGTTTTTTTTTTAAATGCAACACAAATTGCGTGTTAAAATGCAGAAAAACTATCACTTTCTAGGTGGAGCACAAGAAAGAAGTCAAACCAGGGCTTACAATTTAAAGTCCCACACCACTAACCAGGCTTTCAAAGTTACGCACCATTGCAAGCTTAGAGGGTCTATGTCACAGTCATCTGGGGTCTATTTCTACTCCCCAGTGTTACAATTTCATGGAAATTTTAAACCCTGAACCAATGGGCACTAGGAAACTCCTGGCACCATAACCACTACATCATGCTGTAGTGCTTATGGTTTTTTGCAGTGCTCCATTAAATTGGTCCAAAAAAATCACAAAGTTGTTGGCAAACCTGTGTACACAGGATATTATTTACAGCAGCAAAGCCACTTCCAAGTCTCTTTGCATATTTTGTAAAGACTCCAGAAGGTGACAATCCCACCGCAGTCCAAAGATAGTATAGAAGGGAGATATACTTACATGAAACTGTCCTTCACAACACGATATTCTTTCTTAAACACCAAGCCACTTTAGTGGTGTACAGTGTGTGAAGGTACACCAATGGGGTCTAGTGTGAAACCTACAAGACTTTGAAATCCAAAGTTTCCCTATTCTCACAGCCATTGCTGGAGACAGCTATGTTGAATCTTGACAAGGGATGATCCATCTTTTGTCAAGTTTTGTCAACTTGGGACATGACTACAATGCAAAGTAGACCTCACTTTGTCTCAAATATATTTTTATTGCATTGAAACTTCATAAAGATTGCTAAGACTTTCTCAAAATCAATACCGCCATAACAGGGTCACTTTAACTGAATTGCGATGATTCCTGCAGATCACTTATTTCTTACAAAATACAAAGCAAAAATATAATTTGTTTGTGTGTGCAAAACCAAACCAAAACTAAAGTCTAATAAACTAAATATTAGAGGCAAAATGACCACACAAGAGATGTCAAAGAGATAAATGCTCCTAGGTGTCTACTTTAAAAAAAAAAATACTTTTGTATCTTATTTGAATTTATGACACTTTTAAACTTACAAGCCCACAATAAAACATTATGAAAACTATTAGCTTAGAAACAGCAATGCACCGGAGTTGATAAAATAGTTAAAAATTGAATGTATCCCCCAAAATAAATGTTACTAGCGAATGTATGTATTATTCTGTCGCAGGTAGGCAAAGAAATCGAATTTACGTGTTGCCTTTATATTTTATTAGTAATTAAGGATAAGTTATAAGAGAGAGAAAGAAAGAGAGAGAGCATTATATGTCCCTGAATAAAAAAATATATATCATATGTGTGCGTGCTCTAAATGGAAAAAAGGATAATTGTAGTGGAATAAATATAAAAGAAAAAAGTTTTAATGCTGCTGGTGTCAGAGTTAATATAAAACATTTTTCTGAAGGTGGTTAAAATACTCAACAGAAGATAAACTGACATGAATACAGTGTCCAATTTAAAAAAAAAAAAAGACTTTTCCAACTTTTACAAAACTAACTCTTTAAATAGATTATTGAACAGTTTGCTCTATCAATAAAACAAGATAACAGTTGGTTTGAATAAACACATTTACATTCTGTATATCCAGCTAAACAGATTTGGGGCTTTGAGGGGGGGGGGGGCTTTAAAAAAAAGGGGGTGCATAAATGTAAGTGTACAATAATTCAATTCACTGCAGGGATTGAGTCCATTGGTTTCCATGGTGATAACTCTACCCTTAGAACTTTGCAGAATAAGCTCCCTGTTTTAACCCTTCAAGGACCAGAGGACTGTGGGCAGCATTTTAACATATAATGTATAACCTATAACTAATATATTTTTTCCCAACTGGGAACAAGCAAATAACTTGAATTCTTTCAGAATCTGTTCAGTAGTTAGATTTTTCTCACCTCTGTGGCACTGAAGGGGTTAACAGGCATTCCTTACCTTTGGTGGAAGTGTGAATAGTATAGGCAGGAGAATGAGTGGAGTTGCAATCAATACAATGTATCTCTTAATACACCAGAGTTTCTTGACTAGTGCTACAATGACAGACATGCTGCAGTGCATACAGAATGGGGTCAAACTCTGTCTAACTGCTGGTTTTATATTCAGCCTGTGTGGGGGGGAGCTACTGGATCTCCCAAAACACACCCACAATTTAAAGACCTCCCCTCACATTGACACATGGAATGTAATATTTAATTTAGTACATTATTGACATGGCAGATTAATCTCATTAACTTGGACTGCTTACCAGTAGGTTAAGGGAAAAAAGTCCAGAATTGAATTTGTTGAACAGATGATTTTTAAAAAAATTATTTATAAAGCACCAATCTATTCCAAAGCATTTTAGTGTAATAAAATAATAGCTCTTTATGCATAATATGCATTTTATTTATAGAAATGTAATTACTTGGATATTATTTTCTAGCAGTTATTATTTTTTTAACCAAATTTATGTTAGTAAATATTTTGTACACCAAGTACCTGTTATTTATATGAAATGCACAGAATTGTATATTTCTCCAGTAGTGGAGGAGAAAATAAGTGTGTTTGTACTTACCTTCAAACTCCAATAGCATTTGCGGGAGTGGGATAACATAATACTGTTTCCATCAAATATATTGTATTTTCTGTGCATATTCCCAAAACACCAAATTCTAGTGAATTGAAAACAGATTTTTTTTAAATAAGCAGCAATGCCTAGTTTGCAAAAAAACAGCACAAAACCAGGATACACCACTGCTTACAGCTTGATCCTCTTATCCATCAAATGGTGGTGAGTGAATCAGGAAGCACGGGCTATGCGGAGGATATGGGCGCAACGGAGAGGGGTTGTCGCCCGTAACTAGCATGCTGATGTCAGATGCCAAATATGCACTGGATTGACATTAGGTACCCAGGAACTTTTAATGACTCTGCTAGAGGTTGAGCTAAACCCCAAGCAGCAAAGACGTAAAATTTAATATGAGTAGCGTTTCATAGAAAAACACTGCACATACAGGCTCCAGGCACCATGACCACTTCAAATCACTGAAGTGGTTATGGTGCTTGAAGAAACCTTTTATGCCTGAATTTCGCCAGATTTTAATTCACTGTAATTCAGACGTGAGTGCATAATGTTTGGTCATTTAGTTTATATTTTACTACAATTTAGTGCTTAGTCAATTATCTCCTGAATTTACTAGAGAGAAGAGACTTTTACTTATTACAAATAATTAGGCTTTCTCTCTGAAAATCCAGCCTTATTTTTCAGATGAAATACAAGACACCAGAGAAGTATCTGCAAATCAGAGAACTACGAAATGGTTAGGACATTTTAATATCTGGGTTTTGAAGTACTCTGGACTAAGGCACACTTTTACAAGGCACAGCTATTTTTTAACCTTTATTTGCATCTTAGAATTTTCATATCTTTAGGGTTATACACTAAACTCTGAATTTCAGCAAATTAAACCTGATTGGCAAAATGGAGGCTAAAATCGCTAGTTATTAAAAAAATATAGTTTGGCTATTTTAGCTTCAGTTTTGGTGTTCGGACTAAATTTGCTAAACATTTGAGTTTAGTATGAAAGAAAAACCCTCAGCCCTCAATGAATACTATCCTAGCAACCTTCTTTTCTACACCCTTACCTTTTGCGTCACTTTACCCCACTCCCTCTAGCATGTAAGCTCATTGAGCAGGACCCTGAACCCCTCCGTTACTGTGCGTTCAACTCGTCTGGTTCCAAATATGTGTCTGTTAGTCCACCCGTTGTACAGCGCTATGGAAATTGTTGGCGCTTTATAAATCATAATAATAACATATACTTTTAGCTAAATTAATTTTGGCAGATTTAATTGTTTGTCAAATTGAAATCTGAATTTTAATGCAGACAGTTTGTGTCTGTGTGTTTCCACAGATCAGTTTTGTTAAATCTTTTTAAAACATGCTTCCATTATAATTTAATTGTCTCAGCTAATTTAATTATATACTTATTCACTTTAAGTATATTAAAGTACTTATTCACTTTAAGTATATCATCTTATCATTCATCAAACACTTCCCAATCAACATGGGAAAATGAAATCAAAGATTTTACATATTACACCATAATTTGCACAATTTAGTTCCACACTTGATTCAGCTGTGGGGTTGTTGTTTTTTTTCTCACTAAACAGTGGTTTGTGGTGAGTTAGAAATAAATCGATAACTTTGCTGCATTGACGTTTTTCCATCTATGCACAATCTCACTGTTTAGTGGATGGACCCTTTTGTCTTGCATGTTAATCAACTTGTTTTGCACTCGGAGTTAGCAAACGGTGCGCAGCATGTTGCCTGGTTCCTAAAACAAACCTGGGTTCAGCTAACCAGCATGACTAGTTATTCAGATGGAATTATTTTACAAAGGGGATCAGAAAGTATCCTGTGTTGAGATGCACACACACAAGACCTCACAACATTTAACCCACAACAGCCGAAACGCCATACACAACAAAGTGTAAATATTACTAAACTTCACAGTGTATATATAAAAAAAACCAATATGTGAGCGCTATAAAATCCAATACAGATAATATGGCAGCGTTAGAAATACAATGCACAAAAAATGTGTAAAGAAAGATAATAATTACCAAAAAAACGCGCTAAATTAATCTGTAAACATAAAAGACAAATAATAGTGCAGACCATCTGATAATGGTAATGTACGTAATAAAATTCTTAGGGAAAAAAACTCACATGTCCCAGAGCCCTATCACCCCTGGCTCTGGGACAGGAAGCGTTTTGAATTATTTGTTTCATGCGTTTATGTGGGTGACTCTGCGAGCCAATACCCACCACATCCCAAGTAAGGGTTTTAACTTTTTTATGCAATAAATCAACTTGTGATACTATTCAATTGGAGGTCCTGCCCTTCTTTTTACACACAGCATAACAGAATCACCAGTGGATACATCTTCTGGAATACCCTGCAGTGTGGGGATATCCCCTCTCCCAAAGAGCCTTTCAAACCCAGAGCCAGGGGTGATAGGGCTCTGGGACATGTGAGTTTTTTTCCCTAAGAATTTTATTACGTACATTACCATTATCAGATGGTCTGCACTATTATTTGTCTTTTATGTTTACAGATTAATTTAGCGCGTTTTTTTGGTAATTATTTCACAGTGTATATATAAACGTAAATGTTTGGGTTCTTGATATCATATTTTAAAAAATATATCACTTGGGAATAAAGCACAGTGTTAGTTTTCAGTTGAAATGCCACTTCGTCCTGAACAAAAAGTGTTAAGTTTGAACACTAACGCAGTTTAAAGGTTACACTGAATGGAACAGTATTGGGACTGTAACACTGGTTAAAAGAGGCTGTGTCCTTAAAGACACAACCAAAGCTTTTACGTGAAGGGGGTGGGGAGGGAGATACTTCAAGTTTGGTATGAGATGCAAAAACAAGAACATTCATTATCATTCCTGTAAGGGGGGGGTTTAGATTTTTTACAAAATTGTGAATTAAGCGGTGTCTTCAATCATTGCTGAAAAATCTTGTTTCAAATAGATTAGGCTTTAAGCAGACAAATTGAGTCAGTTTGGTATTTCTTTTGGAGCTACGTTATTTTGGTCATAAACTTGCAACTTGAATTTTTATGTCAAGTTCACGCAGCTCATTTTTAAGTATAGTATCTCTAGGACAACTGCAAATATGTGTCCAAGAGTCACAGATTGATATCTCCCAATGCACTATATAAATACCAAAAAATAAATAAAAATAATAATAATAAACCGTGCCAGAATTATATCTCATGTGCCTGTAGACCCTAAATCACAGGCTTCGCTGCTTCCCCCAAAAATGCCATACTCTGTTGCTTGCTTAATAATTTGTAGAAAGAGAATGCCTTCAATAAATAATAATTAAAAAAAAAAATTAAAAATAAAGAAATGATCACAAAGATTTAAAGATTGCATATTTGTGTTCATAATATGCAAACCTAGTAGACACGCACCCGTAGGCAGCTGCTGACTGGCAAACTGCTTTCCTATCAACTACTGATGAGACATAGGAACACTGCACTCACTTAGGAACCAGGGTGCTAAACCGGACCCGAAGCAGGCTAAATCCCAAGCGATAGTTGAGATAGAGAAGATGGTCTGGGCACTCAATGTTCAGAGAATAAGCAGGTTTATTGGGAGAGTGTACAGCAACATTTTAACTTTAAACGGTCTTTGTCAAGCATTCTCCCAATAAATCTGCTTATTCTCTTAACCTTAAGTGCCTGGACCATCTTCTGTCTCTCAATATCAACTACTGTCAGAGATGCTATGCCAACCATGTTTTCCTGGACAACTACACATTTCACAGGCTTCATGAGGCACATGAAATGGACTGTGCAGCGCTACTTACAGAATTATTCACTAAGCTGAGTTAAAGGGTCACTCCCGACCCCTGAACTACTTTAGCTTGCAGGACAGCTTTATGTGTGAAAATGGTGTTCTATTTTTTTCATTTTGCAAAAAGTGCAGATTTCAATAGAAATAGACACTTTTATAAATTAACCTGGTTACACCCTCTTGGCTTTCAAGCAGACAACGTGTAATGTTACTTCCTGGTTTGGTTAGCTCAATGCAGCTGACCTCCAGAGGCAGCAATAGCTCAGTGCACCTGACTTACAAAGAATTGTCATTGCGCTGCGTTGGGAAGTCTGTGATTGGACAGACACAGAAAGTCTGGGCGGGGTTAGAAGGGAAGAGCTTGCAAAGGTAGCAGTTTAGATATGCCACTAAGTGGAAAAATACATAATTAAATACATGCAAATTTTCATTTGAGGTATATCTACTAAACGGTAATTTTTATTGATTTTGTATTTGGGCAGTGAAGTATCCCTTTAAACACTAAAGTGAGGATTTAAAATTAATTCAAAGTTAATTTCAAATTTAAGGCCAGAGTAGCCGAATTAGAAACATGGCCTTAGATTTGAAATTCACTTGGAATTCACTTAGCATTCTAAATTAGCAAATAACCCTGTTAGAATGGTTTAGCGGCCATCTGAACACTCTAGGTTAGAAGCATAAACCACAAAGC